TGTATATTTTTGGAATGCAGCAACTAAACCTAGGAATGCTAGTTGCGGTACTAATTGAACCAAGCAGTGGTCATGAAAAACAAAAAACAAAACCACCCTTTCAAGCAGGTCCAGTATTTGAATTTGAGTATTAGGCATTCGTTAAAATAAACTAGCTGTGCTTTTATCTTGGTATCAGATCTCAGTTAGGTTTAAAGGTAATGACTGATTCTTTTATTGCAAATATCAATTGCCTGATTGAGCTTGCCATCACACAAACATCATTCTTTCCCACAGTCCACTTAGCATATATAAAAAATGTCCCTCAGGCAGGCTTTGGCTAGATTGCTAGATTTAAGACATAACCAGGGAACCCCAATTCCTTAAAAAGGCAGGAGAACAGCAAAACAGCGCTATTTTACACACTGTCATTTATAAACAAAAAAATTCCTTCCAGTAGCACCTTAAAGACCAACTAAGTTAGTTCTTGGTATGAGCTTTCGTGTGCATGCACACTTCTTCAGATACACTGAAACAGAAGTTGCCAGATCCTTCTATATAGTGATCCTTCTGAGAAGGATCTGGCAACTTCTGTTTCAGTGTATCTGAAGAAGTGTGCATGCACACGAAAGCTCATACCAAGAACTAACTTAGTTGGTCTTTAAGGTGCTACTGGAAGGATTTTTTTTATTTTTTTTTTTGTTTTGACTATGGCAGACCAACACGGCTACCTATCTGTAACTGTCATTTATAGTTACTGCTGTTGTACTCCGTGGTCCATTTGTTAATACAGCATTATCCTGTTCCTGTATAACCATGGATTTGTAGTCATGCTATCTTCTCTGTGCTATACACCTTATCCTATATGCATCACAGGCAGCTCTGATTGTGTAGGCACCTGCCAACATGGGAGCAGGTCCCACCTGCAAGCCATTCGTCTGCATCAGACTCTTAGGATGCAACAGTAGAGGCATCACACATCCTTGCAATGAAATCCACAAATGTTACTAGCCCTCAAAAGAAAGAAAGAAGAAGTTTTCTAGCTTGCCTGGCTACCACACAGCAACAGCCTGGAAGGAAAATAGAGACAGCCCTTTCCCAGTTGCACCCTTCTTGGTCACCTGGTCATGATGTCACCTAGACATTATTCTTACTCTCCCACAGGTGACCAGGTGAGTGGCTGTTGAGAACCTGACAGCCCGTATAAATAGAAGGGATCCTTATGTGAGGGAGCTTTTGAATGTTCTTGATCGTGGACTTGACCCATATTAGCAAAATATGTGCTTCATATTCCAAGAAACATTCCATGAGGTAACTAAGGATCCTTCCAGCCTGGTGGTGATTTTTGTGGGTATGATCTGCAGCACATTATTGTCCCAATAATGGTGCATTAGTGATGTAGTTATACTGGACATACTGTCTATAAATCATTGGAGAACTTCATTTATTGTTCTCCAATACTTCTTCAATATTACTACATTATTGCCATCTAGCTGGGTACTGTCACACTATAGTGCAACAAAAGTGGGACAAAAAAACAAAAGCAAAAACACCACCCCTCAGGAAGTGACCTACAGTGGAGGATAGTACAGTTGCCAGGAATGGAACCTTGCCATTGTATTTTCAGACTTACCCCCTTATGTTCTATACAAGCAGAAATGAACTTTGGATTTTTTTTAGATTATGACTCTTAAGAAACCCAGCCAGATGGGCGGGGTATAAATGGAAAAAAAGAAAAAGAAATGAAGGACCATTTTATTATATTAGTCAGTGCTTGGTACACCACCACAGGAAAAGGGTAGGAAAAATTAATCATCTAAGATGATATCTGATGCTCTGCCAGTTTCTCTTCGTGTCAGTTAAGCTTTTTTTTTTTCAGAATCCGTATGTAGGTGACTTGCTGTCTTCCACTGGGCATGCCATGCCGCTCTTGAACCACCAGTACTAATTCTCTCAGGACAGACATGTTAAAGGATTGTAATGTAGAGAGACTGTATCATAAAATGGATGCAAAGATAGGCAAGCAGGTGGAAGGACCTTAGCTCAACGGTTGAGTGCAGGTTTTGCACCTGAAAGCCCTCAGGTTCAATCCCCAGCATCTCCAGCTAGGACTAGGGAAGACTCTTGTTTAAAACCTTGGAGAGCTACTACCAGTCCATGTAGATTGGCTTTCTCCAAGCTTGTGTCTTCCAGGTGTTTCAGACTACTAAGAACATAAGGAGAGCCCTGCTTTATCAGGCCAGTGGCTCATGTAGTCCAGCATCCTATTCTCACACTGGCCAACCAGGTGCCTGTGGGGAGCCTGCAAGCAGTACTGGAGTGTATCAGCACTCTCCTCGCCTGCAGCTAGATGGATCAGTAGTTTAATTCAGTGTAAAAGAGTTTCCTATTTTCACTGTGTTCCTATGTGCAGTCCTTGAAGAAATAGTTAAAAGTCTCTTATTATGAGTCCGTTTCCTGTGCCTGAACATAGGCATCCAGTTTGGCCAAATTTGTGTTCTATTTTATCCTTTCATGGATAAAACTCAGAATATATGACCTATCAGGGAGGCACAGTATCACTGTAGATTTTCATAACTTTTCTCCTTCTGCTTACCTCTCCTCCCACTGCTGCACTGGCGTAAAAGACAGCTTTTTGGAAGGGAGAGTTATTAATAGTGATCATTTATTCACTGGAACTGGAATCCTTAATGGAAGTTCTCACTAAAGACACAAGGACCAGGAAATGCCCCTTCTTCTTTAATCATAGTGAAACTCAGTTAATGTTATTAAATAATTGGATTTGCCTGGCACTCATCCATAACTTGTGTTTCATGGAGGGAAAGACATTTGAGAAGCAAGTTATGCATGTCTAATCTGGACTGGGATCTTTTCAGACACCACCCTCATTAGACCATCTCATTCTGTACATATCATTCAGGACTGTACCTTCTAAGAGGTGTTCTGTTGGATGCTGAAAAACATAATCAACCTTCCTTGTTAGATGAGGTGTCCTTAAAAGCAACCTCCATCCTCACAGTCATAACAGCTGAAGGGAGATTTGTTTTTCAGGATTATTAGAAGTATGGTAGAAGTTGATAGTAATCTTGAAAAATTCACCCTAAGCCAGAAGGAATCTTAGGTGGTCAGATCATGTGGGTGGACCACAGGATTGTTAGAGTGGAACCATCTACCCAGTAGTAGTCATTTTTAAATATATTTTTTGATTCTAAAAACAACCTCTCATCCTTTAATGGAAAAGTTAATGTCACAAATTGGAACTCCTGCCTTGGGAGGAAAATCTTAGGTAAGGTGAACAAAGCTTGGGTGGTTTACTTATGGATCTTACCCTGCCTGCATTTCTGATTCTGATAAAGGAAAGACCAGAGAAACAGAGGGGCATGAGGACATTTACAGTGGTACTTTGCATTTTGCATTCTCAAAACATCCAAAGTTAACACAGTGGACTTAGGAGACAAAGAGAGCAGGAATGAAAGTGCTTCATTTCAGTCTTCCATATGAGGAGGCCATATGAGGCCAGCCACTGATTATAGAAATCTTGGGATTTGCATTCACCTACTGTTTGTGTGCACTCTCCTCATATTAAATTCACTTGAAGTGGTGCTTCTGCTTAGTACAATATTGTATTATGGGAGATATTTACATTTCACATCTCTTCTGCTATCCATAACAAAGAGGATTCATGGTTCCCTGCCTATTATGCTGCTATATTTGTTCTGCCTTACGTCATGTATTGCCAAAGGTGATGGCACTATGGGCTCAGTTGTACACACCGGCAGATGGACAGTTGTTTGGGATTCTACAATAGAAATGACTCATCTGAACAGAGTTCCAGACAATTCCCATGCTTCCCCAAACTGGGCTTAGACAAAGTCCCAAAATGCAGTTAGTTGGGAACACTTCATTTGAAGTTTTCAATATATAAATCTCCCCCACACACACACACACACACATTTTAGGGATGTCATTTTGGCTTGTAAATAATTTGTACAAGTCAGTTCTTCAGTTCTGTATTAATAAGGGAGTCAATCCATATTAACATTTTTCTTCACAAAGGACTTTTGTAATGTCAGAATGACTCCTTTAGCATGAATTTTCAGCTGAAGCTGATACAGAGTTTCCAGGTACTTTAAAATCAAGGCACTATAGACTCAGGCTGCAATACACTTACCTGTGAATCCTATTCAGTTTAGAGTAGAAATGTACAGGATGGCGTTACAAGGCATATTTAGCTTTACTGAGTATTGAGGTATCTTTGAAAGCTACTACCTACTTCCTATGATCCAGCAAATTGATCAGCACGCAGTAGTCCACACATGCCAAAGGATATTGGATGTGCTTTTAAGGAATGTGCATCCATCACCCAGGGCAGGGCATTCAGGGCCCCTTGCTGGAGTGGAATGACACACAAACAAAAAGTTGGAGAAGTTTTGACAACTCTAGCTACCTGAGCTAAATCTTTTGAGGGGAGGGGACTTTCACCTAAAGTGGTCAGTTTTGTCAAACTGACAGGACTGCCAACAGGTTTGGTTGTGAGGATTCTGTTTCCATTACATATATTTAGAATTCACGTAAATAATGGCAATGCTAATAGGTTAGCATGCTATGTGTTTTGTGGGTGTGTCTTACTCTGGTGTTTGTTTTAAATAAATGCTTGTGCTATTTATTTATTTATTTATTTATTTATTTGAGCCCAATTAATTTGCAATGGCTATTGCTAAAGCAATCAGTTAGAAATCCAGTTCACTCAGCTGCCAGTGCAGTTTGGAATAGTTCATTGGTGGTGCCTATATCCTGAAACACAGAATCCTTTCTACGGTGCTGCTGATTAGGGAAGCCAGTGTCAAGAAGAAACCTGGGGAAAGCTCAGAAGCGCTCTGAGTAGAACCAGGGGAGCATAAGGCAAAGCTGGCAGGGGAGGTACTTTTTTGTCTCTCTTCCCACAAAGGGGTGGGAAGAGAGACAAAAGACAGGGGCAGATGCCGACTGGAACAAGACAAGTTCCAGCTGGATGGTGGAGAGAGAGAGAGAGAGAGAGAGAGAGAGAGACTGTGGATGAGAAGTGATGAAAGGCTTTAAAACAACCTGTTTCTCTTTCCTCCAGACACCGATGGTTCATTTCATGGGGTGGAGTTTCTGCCAGAAGATTTCAGAGACTCTCCTAATGAAAGAACAATGAGGGTGAATGAGAAATACTCCACGCTACCTGCTGACGAGAAAGGGATCCACATTATCAACATCAGAGCTATTGAAGATATAGGATACGTTCGCACCGAGAGTACGGTGAGTTGAGGAGGTGTCTTCTCACCTATTTGTTGACATATCTAGCTGCTAACAACATAATCCTGTCTGTGATCTCTGTCCTTTTGCCCCTTATAACCCCAGGGTTGTAACTGTGCACTCCACTGTACAGTATTCCTTCCAAAAGCAAGACGCTAAAAAACATTACAGCATTTCACTGCCTAATGAAGGCTTCCATGAGAACGTTTCATTTTAATCAGTGCATTTTTAAGCGGGTATTTCAGTCTAGATAACAGAACCACACACACACACATACTTGCATTGCTAAATGTAAATTTTGTGGGAAGTTTTTGTGCTGCCTTCAGCTGCCCCTTGCAGTACTATACTAAGAAATTTTCGAAATAGTATATCTTTATTTTTTTTAAATCATTTATATTTCTGTCAAAATGACCCTCAAGGCAGCTGTTCCCAGCTATACTTTGAGATTAAAATGTTAGCGATATTATCACACACAAACGCACAAAGGATTAGCCTCTGTCTCTCTAATATCTCACTTCATGCCTTTTGCAGAGGGCAAAATTTTCCTTGGCATAGAAATGCTGTGATGAGGGAGGGAGGGGGAAGTTTACCTGTTGGCATTTGCATATTATGCAGCCATAAAAAAGTGAAAACCTCAAACTAATAGGATCCCAAGTGTATGATCAATGTCCAGGAAGGGAGCCATGTGAGCCTTCTATTACAAAAACAAGACACTTAAAAGCTAATACATATATTATGTCATGTGCTTTTGTATAGGGGAATTAAATTCAAAAAGTATAGACAGTGAAGTATAGACTGAGGGCTGCAGTCTTATGCCCACTTACCTTTTTGAACTCAGTGGTACTTCCTTCTCAGTAGACATGCACAGGATTGTGCTGCAAATGTATGTAAAAGAATTACAATGACCACAAACAGTGTTGATTATTTCTTGGCACTAGTAAGCAAGTGAAAAAAGTTCGGATGAAGGGATAACTAGGACTCTGTCATTGTTCCCGAGCAAGGGCTACAAGCAGAACTTTTTTTCTCCATTAGGGAACATATTAATAAATACTGAGTTGCCTTTTGAGGTATGGCTTTTCAAATTGTGGTGAGAAAATATTCACCATGCCCTCCCATCAGATGTCAAGGAGATAAATAACTATACAACTTTTAGAAGACATCTGAAGGCAGCCCTGCATAGGGAAGTTTTTAATGTTTGATGTTTTATTATATTTTTAAATCTGTTGGAAGCTGCCCACAGTGGCTGGGGCATCCCAGTCAGATGAGTGGGGTACAAATAAAAGGAGGAAGAGGAAGAAGAAGAAGAAGAAACCTTTTTATTCAAAATCACATTGCTAATTATGTGTATAAATTGGATCAGTTACTGAATACAGATTTATTGGTATTTATCTCCTTCAGGTTTATCCAAATCTTTCACCTTTGGAACTTCTTTAGATGGGCACAGTTTAAAAAATGGGCTGCTTATAAAGCTTAATGCAGCAGGCAACTAGACCTGCAGAGGCATAATGGATTGGGACTAGCATGGAAACATAATCTTAGGGGGGTATGCCATAATTGCAGTTAGTTTTTTTAATTAATTCTTTCACATGAAACTCCTACGATGAAAACTCTACAGTGGAAATAATTGATTCCTTTGTCTGCTTGTGAGTTAGTTGGCTACAGGGCAAGAATCTGGGAGTTGTTCAGTGTGCCTATGTCAGAGCAAGAAGGTGAATGTTTGTTTCTTCCCAAGTACAAGTATAAACACCGGGAAGACTTATAGGGTGACTCCAGTGAATGATCACACAGTGTGCAAAGAGGGTTGTAGAGCTGTATACGTACAAGCAGAAGCCAGAGACATCATCTCTCAGCTCGGAAAATGCTACATATTTGTTTATTCTTACTTAACAACATTTATATACCACGTGTGTATAAGAAAACATCGAAGCAGTTTACAAAAATATACAATAAAACATAAAAATTCTTGTTTTTAAAAAAGCTAAAAACAACCATTTAAAGACATTTAAAAGATGATTCAAATCATCTGTAGATATGGGTGATTGGGAGCAGAAATTTGTCCAGATTTGAACTATGGCAGCCAAGACAGGGCTTTGAATTTCAGATACTGCCACTGAAAGGGGCACTAGATTCTAGCGACTAGAAGGGCTTCGTGAAAATGCACCGTTTGAAAATGAAACTATGTATAGTGTCAACTTATTGGTTAAATCCATGCTGTATATGGTGTATGGTGCCCTGTATGGTGCATAAAAAGGTTGGGTATTTATTCACCATTCGTCATTAGGCCAGTATTGTCTAAGTATCTTTAAAAGTCACATTCAGACCTTCAACGTGTGAAGGTCTGAGAGAAGCCTGTATGGAAAACTGGGGCGGCGGGGGGGGGGAGCTTGTGTGTGCACTTCCCTCCCCCTGCACTTCTTGAAGTCTAATGTGATCAGCACAGTGATGTCATATCAGACATTACATTTATATTATACGTTACAAAGAAAATAGAGTGAAGAGGCGCAGAGTGGTGGCATCCCTGTGTGCCTCGTATAATGTCTGGTTTGGCCTTTCATGTAGTTCTCATGCTTCTTCAGCAGCCTGGCACAGTTTTAAAACTTAACTAATTACATCTCTCCACATTATGAAAGCATTTAGTCACTTCAGCTAAGACTAGAATTTATTAAAAGCCCTTGAACAAAACACTTTGCAGATCAGGAGGCCAAGACATCTTTGAGAAATGGCACAAAAATATGTTTTTTCTTTCTCAAAAGGAAGCATCTGTTTTTTATACTACAGCCAAATTTATATAAAAGTGGTCTCTTGAGAGAGACCACACATGCAAACTTGGAAGCATCAATGACTTTCTTTCCTCTTACAGCCTAATAAAGGAATAATTCTGAGTACTTTGTTTAATTAAGAAAAAGTGGGTGTAATACATGAAGATCCTGATCTGGAACATCCGTATTGTCTTTACCACCCAAGCCATACAAATCCATCTTGCATTCTAGTTCCTTTGTTCTGTTCTGGTGGTCTTAAGGTGTCAACTTCACCCAGCTGGAAAACTGTGTTTGAGGCACAGCTAGCATCTGCTAACTTAGCCTGGGAATGGCTGAAGCACTAAGTGCTATACTCCTTTCAAAGAACAGGTGTGTCCCCACTGGCCTGCCTGCTGGTGGTTGTTTGAAGGGACCAAAACAACAAGCTTCCATGTTATTTAAAACAGCTGGAACTGAATTATCAGTGCATCTGCACTTAATCTTGGGTCTGCCTCTTCTGCTTTAGGATTTGCACTTAATTAGCAAGAGTGTGGCACTAATGTTTCAAGTATACAGTACAACAACATTTTTATCCTGTGAACCGCCTTGAGATCTTTGGATGATACAACAACAACAACATCTGCCCTTGGCTGTCCGAGGCTGACATTCCCTTTAGTGGCATGGGAAAAGCTGCATGCCTCATTGCACTAGCCTTGTCCAAAGTGATGGGAGGAGTCCATGCCACAGTTCCTTTGCATGGACAGGCAGAGTCCCCCAAACCCTGGGCAGCCCCCATGTGGAATAAAGACTCAAGACAACGTGCTATGGGATTAAAATTGGCCACAACTTATTATGCTTTGGATATGGGTAGACCTTGGCTCAGGCATTGGACATTTATTCCTCCCAGTCCCCTGCCGGGGATCTGGGGAACATCAGGGTTATCTAGTGGGGGGGGATGGGCTGGCTCTGGAGAACATATGTTCAAGCAGAGAGAGCCCACCCCCGTTATGTCGCCGTCGCAGGGGAGAGCAATGACAACCTCTAGGTGTATGGCCAAAGCCTCCCCTCAAAACCCCTTTAACGGGGAACCCTGGTATCGCCGCCACAAAGAGGAGGGGGCGTGGGTCACCGCTACACGCCCACCCCCATTTAGGAAAGATAGACTAAAGGATTCCACCCAAGGCCTGATACCGCCAAAGTTGTGACGTTTTGCTACGGGAAAGGCAAACCTGCCAATGCAGGAGAATTCCTTTCCAGCCCTTCAATAGCACCTTTGACGTAGCAGCACCCGCGTACCTGTGGAGAAAAGGTTAACATGCAAAAAAAGTCTTAACTGAGGGTGGGTAGGGTGGGAGAAGCTCTGGAGCCAACTGACAGTTCCCAGGTAGGACCCTCCACACCATTGGGCAGGTGGTCCCTCCCCCTACCTGGCCTGATCACCTTGTCAACGCCTCCCCAGGCGGGATTGGGCAACTGGCTGTGGCCAGCGGAGACCTCCAAGTATCCCACCTGGGGAAGGCGAAGCCAAGCCTGTGCTAATGGTGCCGCGTAGGGTCCGGGGGCGCCCCCCATTTAATGTGGGGAGCGGTCATTCTGTGCAATAATTCCCTATCCTTGTAACTAAATTAGCAGTGCCATGGGGAAGGAGCCACAGAATGGATTCTCCTCACATAATAATTGCTTCCTTCGAACATTACAGACTGGCACAAGGAGCTACCATGCTGTGGAAGTTAGCACACCATTAGAGGCAATGTTGGAAGTGGTCTATGGTTGGACAGAGAGTCTTTTTCAAAAGCAGAGTTTGCACATGTCCCCTTGCACAAAACAAGACCATATAAGATAACCTCTATTTTTATTCTCAAAGCAAGGAAGAACAGCAGTCAAGCATTATCAAAGCCCCCCTGGAATGGCGTGGAATGGAAGGAATTCCCTTTCAAGCCAAATTTCTCCTTCCACCTAAAAGAGCCTTTAGATTGCAATGGAGGCAGTGCCTTCTTAAAGGACAACATGTAATTCAGATGTACAGCCAAATGCGCATCTGAGTGTAAGCGTAGTTTATCTGTACCACATTGCTTTTAATGGAATATGCACTTGGATGCACAACCAAATGTTACCTTTTCATCTGGAGAGACATCTTTCAGGAATTTCATATTCATTTAACAATGCAAGTTTTAATTGCAATATCCATATTTTGTTATCATGGAGTTGCAGGGGGCAGGACTGGTAAATGCATTTCCATTTTAATTTTCCATGAGAAAGAGTAATGAATGAAAAAAACTGAACCCTGGCTGTGGTCCACTGGCCTTTTTGGCTGAGCTATATGACCAGCTGGCTCCTTTCAATCTCTGTTAAAAATGATCTCTTTTTCACATGATGCAGAGAAGTGACAAATGTTTGAGCATATTATTAATCTGTTTGTCAGTAGTAAAACACAGATGCCTTCAGTGGAGAAGGGCAAAGAATCTCAGCCGGGTTTAAAGCACAAAAAGTTAGAGAATTCACAAACTGGTTGAAAGATAAAACTGGTGATGAAATTAAAGTTGATCTACACAAGTATTTCTGAGTTGGAAAGGTCAGATTATGAAGGTTAGGATGTAGTAAATTGAGATCTGGCCCCATGAGGATGAGTTCACATCCAGTTCACTGTGCAAAGCTGAAGAGGCAAGTCACTTTGTGTTGATCAACCTTAGATTGGTTGTCTGAATTATCTTGAGTTGCACCCAAGATATAGCCTGAAGGCCCATGAAGCCACCATCTTGCTGAGGCTTAGGCTACACATGCGCTTTCTGTTTAAGAGCCCCAGGATCATGTGACCTGTAGTTTCCCCCTCTCAGAGCTACAGTTCCCAGCACTCTGATCAAAGTACAGCTCCCAAGATTCTTAGGCAGCCTTATCAAACTTGGGGTTGGTCACTGCCTAGATAGGTGACCACCAGGGAGACACATGGTAGGCTACCTTGGGATTCATCACATAATAAAGCTGGGGTACAAATATATATTTTAAAAAGTTGCTTATTTTATCAATCCATTTAACACATTTTAAGCCCACTGTACTGCAAAAAGGCAGTACTAGCACAGGTTACAAGAAAACACATACATGCACACATATATATCTGATAACTGAACTTATTGACTGATCAACCAGCAAACGTATTAACTTGTAACATTTTGTTGAGTATATTCATAATCTGATAGCACAGGCTATTTCTGCTGTGGCTGAAAGGAAATACTTAATACTTGATTATTTTAATGCTTAGTCAAAGAGATGATTGAACACATTTCCTTTCCTTTCATTGCAGTTATTGAATTCATTCTCGCAAGATCCTGATGCCAACTGCAAGTATGGACTTTATTTCAGAGACGGGAAAAGGAAAGTGGATTATATCCTGGTTTACCACTACAAGAAGTCCTCCTTCAGCAGAACGCTCACCAGGCGGATCCATTTCAATGACCTGGGGCCTCGGAGCCTCAAACAGGACCAGCCGCTTCCTGGGAAAGCAGGGCAGGTTAATATGCACGACAGTGAGCCCCACATGGATTACCATGAAGATGACAAGAGAGTCCGCAGAGAAGAGTACGAAAACAACCTTATGCAGGCCGGCCTTGAGTTGGAAAGAGATGAAGACGTAATTATTCCCTTCATTCTTTTTAAAAAATTAGCTGGGCTATGTATTTGCCAAGACTGGTAGGTGAGGCACTGGAAGGTTCCTGAGGTCCAGAAACCTTAGTATGTAACTTAGAGCTGGTCCAGCTATGACCTTGCTATGTATGTTCAACAGGAGGGGTCCTGAGGGGAAGGGCAGCGCCACACACCTGGCCTTGCGTCAGCTGTGTAGCTGTGCTTACTGGGAGAGGAGAGAGGCAGCAGTGAGGTCAGTGTGGTGCAGCTATGGTGGTGGGAGAACCCATCATGGCTCTGCTGGTCTGCTCACACTTGGAGTCCAACAACATCCAGAGTGCCACAGGTGCTCCATCCATGCTATAGGTGTCGAAAGCCAGATTTCCAGAGCCGTACCTTATTGAGCACTGGGCCTTGGGCATATTCCGATGACAGGCGTACAAGTATGTGGAGTGGGAAACAAAAGAGATGCAGTTTTCCCTTCTCCTACTGAGACACCTTTGGGAGGACACGATAGCATTTCCTACTACTGGGGCTGGAGTTGGGGTATCACTTTTCAGTGCTCCCCCATGATAAAAAGAAACATCTCTGCAAATAGAAACAATCAAGTCCAGCCTTTCCCACGCAGTGCTACTTTTAATTCGTAAGATTGAGTTTGTGTGTCCCCCCCCCTAAAAAGTGTTTAAAAATGTCACCAATAGTGGAGCTATGGCATATATGCCACATTTATTCTGAGGTGGTGTATCTGTGTGTATAAATGCAAGCAGACTTTGCTGTATTGTATTAAATACTGCTGATAATACATGCACTGGGAAAGCGAACTATTCTTATCGGCAGAATGAAAATTCCCTGTTATTTCTTATTATGCAGACCCCCCGCCCCCCCCAGCTGTGTTAAGGACTATATTCTAGTATAAAAATGTGAATATTTCCAGGGCTCAAACTAGACAGGCTAAAAATACTAAACCTCATCCTGACAAAATAACTGTTATTACAGGATTATTTGCAATCCTGTTCTTACTTACCTGGGAGTAAAACCAGCACACACTCCTGTTTACTCTGCACCCAGCGTGCTCCCACTGCTGTTTTGGGAAATGGCATAGACATGTCACAAAATGCTGCATTTTGAAGTGCTTTCCCCCAAGCCACCTAATTTCTGAATTGAGAAAAAGAACAATCTGGCTTTGTTTTAAACTGGTAATGTGTTGACAGGCCGAGTCTCATTGCACTCAGTGGGGCTTGCTTTTGAATAGACATGCAAAAGATCGCACAGAGTAAACTTTAAAGGTCTATATCCATGCCTCTAGGGGAAGGTGCTTTAGCCAGAGAAAAGGTCTCCACAAACAGTGGACATGGCTATGAGCTTTAAAACATTACAGCTGTATGATAATAAGAACCTACGTTTCACCTTACATATGAACAGCATAGCGTCAGGAATTTGTATGGTAGAGGAGACAGATAGGTGGAAGATATTGTTTCAGTTATGGGGCATGGTTCCAAGGCAAAGAGAGTTTCCCACGGAAGTATAGTTTGACCTTGTCAGCACTATCTCCCACAAGGACGTGTCCCTTTCTGCTAGTGGCCTTTAGAAGGGTAGTCGTGCAAGGGTGAAGATGAGCAACAGAGAAGCAAAATAAATTTAACAAGAAACTTATTTACTGAAGTAAAGAGAAAGGCCTGTGGTTTTGTACAAAGATCCCAGTGCTTTCTAATCCCAGCAGAGTCCTTTGTAGACACCCACACTTCTGTAAGCGGATCTCTGCAGATCTGGGAATATTCTTACTTAATCTTGCCAGGTCTGCTTCCTTTCCCTCAGGACCCCAGCTGTACTTTGAGAACTGTAGACCTTGCCCTCCAGTAGATTTTTTTCTAACCTTACATAAACCTTTTTCATTTAATCAGAACAAGGGTCCATTCACATGAGTACATACAGGGGTGTGTATTAGCAGAAAGTCTGAAGTGTTGCAAAATGTTTGTGTGATTCGTTCACCACACTTTCCAACTCACAGCTCATAACCCAGATTTGCCACACTACTAGTGGCTGTGGGAACTCAGTATATATTAGTAAAGTTGTCCATCCTTTCACGTAGGCCCTATGCATTTAGGAGCTGCATTACAGGCAGAAGTCCAACAGATGCAATGACAGGAAAAGCTGGATTTGCTGTCTTTTGTTCAGCATTTGATGACCACTTCAGCACGTTTTAAACTCTGCACCATTTTCCTCAGCCCATATACCAAGGTTTAATAATGTGACCTAGCGAAAAAAAACCTGGAATGAATAAGATGAACCCCATTAAATTGACTATGTAGCATGCCAATGATTTAACCCTCATATATAGGAACCTGAGTAGAGTTTTATACACCAGTGCTCAAAAACCCCATTTTCATAGGATTATTACAATGCCGTTATTAGATCTAGAAAATATTAGTTATAATTAAAAATATTTTTCTTTTAAAATTGTTTTAAGAAACTGATGATGACAGCAGATCCAGAGCAAGTCTTTTGTTCCCATCTGAAGAACTGACCAAAAAACCCCATTTAAATTAACAGACAGACCCAAAGCAACTTAGAATCAAGTCTCAAATTCCACCAAGTTTGTAACATGACAATCACCCCAGTTCCTTCCACATCAATCTGGTGCCTTTGTCATAGGGCAGAGAGGGAGAGAGGGCTCTGAATAAATCTCCCCCACCCCACCAACAAGTGCTATAAAAAGAATTCTGACATTAAAATGTCCTGCAGTATTACCTTTGCACAGATAAGGATGCACAGAATGGGGTGGGGTAGGGTGGGATTCTGTGCCATTTTAGTCTCACAGATCACATACATGCAAAAAGGCATTTGCGCTCAGAAATAGTTCTACTGGACTTAAAACTGAAGCCTGAAGCAAGAAAATTTGCATTTAGAATTTCATGCTCAAGCTTTCTTCCACATAAGGTCTGAAGGAGTATTTAAAAGATCCACATATTTCTCTGTCTAACGGCTATAGGAATTCCAACTCTCCGTCAAAAAGAAGTATTGATACTGCTATTTTAACCTCCATTTGTTCAAGGGAACCTTTTAGCAAAAGTTCCAAATTAAATGCTGGGCTCCAAGATGCAATTACACTGTGATTAAAGAGGAGTGGTACAGTATAGCTCCTTTCACCTGCTTAGCCAAAGCAAAGTGTTCTATTAAAAGAGTGCCTATCTCAAATAATAATTGTGGCATGAGTGAACTAATGCCAGCATGATTAACAGAGAGAATCCCAGACATACTAATTTCAAAGGCAGAGGCTCAATTTCAATTGGCTGCTGAAGTCAGTTTCCTTCAGACTCCACGTTAAAGGTTGCCAGAGTCAACATGGAACCAGAACTCTTTTGTGTACAATAGTTCATAGAACAGAAAATCCAAGCAGTTCATATTTTCTCTCTCTCTCTCTCATTTTCATGCTGTATTAAAGGTACAGGAATATTATCATAAATTGAGTCCAACACATCAGCTGAAGGGGAAAGTGGAATATGCATTTGTGTGTGCATTTACAGGACTGAGGAGCTGTGTTTGAACTTCAGTGCCTGAATCTAAACCAGGGCAGAGGAACCATTTTCCACATGAGAACTGCATTGCTTCACAGGCAACCTTCTGAGGGGCTGGAGGCACAAGTGGGTGGGGCAGTGGATTTGACACTTCCATTTGTTCAGTAAGCTGCATGCAAAAGGACACCCACACATCTCTCCAAACTTTGTCCAGACAAGCAAGAAGCATTATTGTTGTTCAGGGACACATTCCAGGCAAAAGAGCTTGAGGAAAGTCTGAAGCAAGGCCAGTGAGGGAGTGTGGCCTAGTGACAGTTCCAAGGACCAGGATAGAGAAGCTTGGAAGGCTGCTTTCAGCCCCTGGGCCTGAGGTTGATAGCCCCTCCTCAGATTGTGAAAACAGCAGATAATCAGCTTTCTCTTCGAATATATCTGAGAATAAGTGGTAGGAGCTAGGGCAGGTTAGTGATATCCTGTCCTCAGTCCTCCTGATCTTCCACACTGTGGACTACTTCTACAAATGTGCTTGTACTGCTTTGTACAGATGAACAGGACAATCCAGCCCACCTAACTCCCCTTACACTAGGCTGGCAGGGAGGTGGGGTGGAATGAGTAGAGGTGTCTCTTCATCCACCTCTCCCAGCTAAGCTGCCAAAACCCTGGAAGCATCAGTTGGGAAACGCCAACCTCCCTCTTCTGCCTGCCAGGCAAATGGGAGTGCCATGGGCAGGATGCGCACCAGCAGAAGGACCCATAACCAGTCTCAGGGTCATTGAGTAACAGCATATGGTCCAATTTAAGCCTGATTACTATGTCACCTGCAAGCAATCTTACTGCCTCTTTTGACCCTGGCAGTGGAGCACTGCCAGGATAGTGGGCAGGTTTGGATTGCACCCTAAGGCACTATTTTTGGTCATTAGTCTTGCAATTTTTTGTTTTAAGTTACACATCTAAAATACAATAAAATTGAAGCAATTCTTGCTAACATTTTACAATAATTTCTTTGATATTGGCAAGTAATTGTATAGGTTAATATCAACATTATGCTTTTCATTTCCAAAAATCAATAGCTAGTTGTGTAAAAAAACAAACACAAAAATACAAACAGATTTAACTCCATGAATTTAGCAGTTACCTTAGACATTAGTTTAGACATACCAGATTTTAGAGAGCCATTCGTTTTTCGAGAGTGAAACAGGCTTAGGCTGCCATGAATAAACTTGTAATTAGTGACTGACGTACCGTCTACCAAACACAAGGTAGAAAAATGGTTAGTTGAATCTAAAGTGACAACAACTTATCATTCAATGGTGTGTTTTACTGTTTGAAGTCAAATATGTCTGGATTGATGGACATTTTCACCCACGTATAGAAAGTTGGTGAAGGTTGAATGACATTTTCAGTATTTAAATTTATCAGACTTTAAGAGTCATATGTCTAATTTAAATGTTGGAGATGCCATTCAACCATGGCCAATTCAGTTACACAGTATAAGGTCTTTTAATATTACTTAGTCAAGTTAACAAACCCCAGTGTTCCAGTTACTGTACATCCAAATCATCAAGTTATGGTTTGCCCTTGATTTGAATGGAATTTCCAGTTTTGGTTTGGATGCCATGAACAAGCCATAGTTTGCCAGTTTGGATGCAACAGCAAACTATGGCTTGAACTAAATTAGAAAAAACTAAGTGAACTGGAGCATGGAGGAGTAAGGAGCAGGGGAGAGAGCATTCAGTCTGTAATCTGGTATTATGTGTTAAACAAAGTTAGCAGCACATTCTAATAAAATTTGTTTCCATCAAAACTTAATCATATTTGCTGTGCCCAAAATTTCTCCTGTGTTCTCCCTCCCCCACCAGTGCCCATAAGTTGATAGGGAAAGAAATGGCATTTGAAAATGATCAGAGGGGAGATAAAATCTCAGTAATGGATGACGTTTAGGGGTCTTTTTTTGCACTTACCTTACTTTTAAGTGGCTGAGGGATGCTTGTGAGTGTCCCTTAGCTTCTACAAATCATCTCTCCAGTGGTCTGCACTCTGCAGCCTTCCCAGTTTAACCAAAACCCAGGAGAAGATTTCATAGGGTAACATCTCCATGGGGCTTTTTCATACCAGGAAGTGTGGGCAGCTAGGAATGCTGCGGGGGGGTGTGCTGGGTTGGTGAGTGGCGGAGCTCAAACACCACCCTTGGCCACCTTGCAATGGAAGAGGTAAGCTCAAAACCCCACAGCCAAAACATAAATAATGAAACCATTAACATGTTCCTGGACAGACAGTATTCTTCACTTTAGTTTATCATTTTTACCAAATACAGTGTTTACAGTAATAGTAGTATTTCAAGGCAGCAGAATTCCATGCATTCTGACTGGCAGCAGAATTCTATGCATGTCTACTCTGAAGTAGGTCACACTGACTTTGAGGGAACTTTACTCCCAGCCAAGTGGGTATATTCTCCAGAGGTATGGGACTCAAGCTCCCATCAGCGCCAGCTAGCCTTGTGGAGTAGTCAGAGATGATGTAAATTGTTGTTCAACAACATCTGGAGGGCCACAGGATTGCAGCCTAAGCTTGTGATTCTATACCCATTTACTTGAGAGTAAGTCCTGCTATGCTCAATGGGGCTTACTTCTGAGTAGACACATATGGTGATTGTGCTGCAGCTGCACATATTGCTATCCATCCACATATAATATCAAAAATAAGCAAGTGTTTGAAGATGAGAGAGAGATCAGTTCTAGAAATAGGGCAAAATAGAGGCTAGCAGTCATTTGATTGGCTGTCATTGAGAGTTCCCTGAAGCCTTACTGCTGACTTTAATATTGGTTAAAAGTAAAAGCTTGTTTCAAGGAAGGCATATATTAAGTTGATTAAATTCTGCTCTGTGAAGTAAGCTAATACATGTTTTTGAAGCTTTGCCATATTGGAGATTGGCAGCTATTTATGTCCCTTGAGTAATGTATTTCTAGTAAGCAGGTGCACAGGACGGCAGGATGAAAACAGGCTTTTGTGCCTGTGCAAACTAGTACAGCAGCAACAGCGGTGGAACAAAAGGCTGAGAGGAGATGCTCTTCGCCTCTGAGCTGGTGTTCACAAGCTGGTTGTAGATTACTTACTAGACTGGAAACAATTTTAAAACTAGAATTCAAATCTGTAGTATTGCCTGATCCAACAGCTACTTAATGCAAGCAAAACTAACATTGCAGAGGAGCAGACTTTTAAACACCCAGATTTATGCTAGGCAATTAATCAGACATTAAAGTGATCATCCTATAGACAAGACCAGGAATAGATGGCACTATAAAGAGAAAACACATTTCTGTCTATCAGCTATTCAGTGAATTGGACTGCTGTGAAGTAAATGAATAATGAATTTTAACCCAGTGTTTCTAGTGCATTGCCACTTTCCATTTCAATCTTTACCTGGTAGATATAGCAAGGATTTCTTCTTCCTTTTTTTAGTGGGACTCTTGTGTCTGCAACAAGTGTGGAAGAAACAGAAACTCAGTAGAAAATGCTTTTCTTGGTAGATACAGTGATGCAGGAAAAGCGTTCATTGACAATTCTTTGCTTGGGAACACTGGATAGAACAAAGTACAGTGGTACCTCGCAAGACGAATGCCTCGCAAGACAAAAGGGTTTTTTGTTTTTTGAGCTGCTTCGCAAGATGATTTTCCCTATGGGCTTGCTTCGCAAGACGGAAACGTCTTGCAAGTCTGTTTCCTTTTTCTTAACACCGTTAATACAGTTGCGACTTGACTTCGAGGAGCAACTCATAGAACGCGGTGTGGTAGCCTTTTTTGAGGTTTTTAAAGACTTTGGTGATTTTTGAAGCTTTTCCAAAACTTTCCCAACACCGTGCTTCGCAAGACGAAAAAAATCGCAAGACGACAAAACTCGCGGAACAAATTAATTTTGTCTTGCGAGGCACCACTGTAGTTTAAATGTATATGCTACCTTATTAGCCCCTTAAATATATATAATCATTCTAAAATAAAATTCAATAAAACCTAAACTTTAGATATATATTTTTTTAAAAGCATCATTGTAAACCTCAGACTTCTGGAGAAAGGCTTGAAATTCCTCTTACAGAAAACTGATAAAAGTAGGGGGAGGAACTCTGTATACACCCATTCTTCGAATTGCTTTTTGTACAGAGCTGTCCTTTGAAGTTTTCTGCAATGTTCTTGACATCGTTTGTCAATTATGTAGACTAACTTGCATGAAAGCTTCTGTTGTTTATTTGCTGATGAGACAAATATGTTGGTCACGCCAGGAAACGTAATATATGTGCAGATTCAAATATTGTTATTTAAAAACAGGTATCATTGTGCCTTCCTCTTGAGACTAATTACATTCAGAGATTGCCAGCAGCAGACCTTGAATCAAGCACTGCTGCCTTAAACATGTCAGTTGCACTGATGTGATCTGCTTTGCGCAGCAGGCAGCACTTGGCAGTGTCATTGAGCCTTTCAGCATCTACACTCGCTACAGAAGGAACTGTGCTGGGTGCAGAACAAGTCTTTAAAAAGAGAAAATGTGAAATAATGGTTAGTCTTGGCTCAACAGTTGTTCTAAAGATTCATCCCAATCCCTGTGTTGGTTCTTGTCCAAAGGGGATAGGAACATTGGGAGCCTTATACTGAGCCTTATTCTGATTCAGACCATCAGTCTGTCCAACACTGTGTTGACTACACAGACTGACAGCAGCTCTCTGGGAGATGCCAGGAATTGAACCTGTGACCTTCTGCATTCAACCAGGTGCTCTACAACTTTCCCCAAGATACAAAAGAGCTTCCCAAAAATCACATAGCTGGTGTGTTTCCTCTCTTGGCCACTATAGTTTTAGAACCCTTCTGCCCTTGTAAAGAAAACTTTAGCCACTGTGGAAAGTGAACCGATTCCACTTCCTTTACAAAATGTCTTTATTGTTTAATCTTAAATCTGGGCTGTTTAATATCAGTGCTATGCTCACAAACTATTTTTATGGGATATTGACTTATCCTTTAAATGATTGTTCACTTGTTTATGTCTTACGTGAATCAGAGTTATCTCTCTCGCATCCCTCCTTTGTTTTCTGTGAAATGTAGTCATTAGTTTCATCCACATATCAAATAAACTAGCTTTTGGAAAATAGCTCATGGGGGGGGGGAATCTTCCAGGCCTGTGTGAAATTGAGCAGATTTGTGTTTCAGGTTATTTGATAAAAAAAATTCCCTTTCTCTCCCTCCAAATGTTTTTAGACAAAAATACATGGGCTTGGATTTGTGAAAATACATGCACCTTGGAATGTTTTGTGCCGGGAAGCAGAATTTATGAAACTGAAGATGCCCACAAAAAAGGTTAGTTTAAATATTATTTTATACTAGGAAACATAAAGGTTATTTATGGTTTAGTGTTTTTTTAAAAAATACAAGAAGTGGAGAAATTAGCTTTCTACTTAATATAATTTGCTATACAATTTATAATGTAATGCACAGTGACATAAAAATGTGTGGTTTGAGATGCACGTGGGGAAATTTCTACCATTTTGCAGTTTGCTTATTAACATTTATATCCATTTTCCCATCAATCGCACCCAAGCAGCTTGCCCAGGTTTGCATTTCATATGGTTGCACCTTAGTCTATTGCTAACATCCACCCATTCTAGAGCTGACCTCCCACACTCAGTCAAGAGACTGCTTATTATGTTTTCCTTGACTGCCTCACAACACTAATGAGGCCACCACAGCCTTTTACGGGCAGACTGATAACCAAGTACAGTATGCCAGGTTCCATGGCATGTCGAAACAACCTCAGGACCAACAAGGGAATATTCTCTTCATCAAGGAACAGCACTCTGCACATACTTGAGGCATTTTGTTTAAGAAAAGAAAAGAAAGAAACAAAAAATACCCTTCTCCCAAGAAAAGAAACAGTCTGCATGATCAGGTAAACCAAAATAGGGTTAGGTGGCAACCCTAACATGAACAATGCACATCTGCTCTGCAAACCTAAAATGGTTGTGTATCCTTTTAGATGCCATTGCTTCTCCTCTTGTAGGGTAGCCTTGCTGACATAGAGAAATTGTTCTCTGTTAGACATAACTGCATGGATCCCAACAGGAGTGAAGTTCTAAATATCCTCTGAGGGGAAGCCTTTTAGCCAAGTCACAAGGTGAATGACGTTTCTTCGCCATCAGTGCTAGAGGTCTTGCTGCAGCAGTGTAATTGAATCCCATGTCTTCTTGTCTATGACAAGAAGCCTTGCTCCCTATGCTGTGGGACATTGCAGCTGCAATGCTTGGGTGATAGAAAAGACCCAGGAAAGGAGTTCCTTTCTCTGTGTGTGATTTGCCCCGCTCTGATGTGAAAGTGCAAATACGAATAAGGTGGGTTCTGTGTCCTTCACTCCAGCGCTGCCTGTCACCACCAGCAACATCACAACAAGGTTGTGGTTCCGTATATAGATTTATGCATGTGAAGAGTCCCATGTCTGTGCCCAACATTTGGCGAGCATGAAAGGATTGGTTGGACCTAGTCCTACCTTCCCAATGAATCTTTGAATTGTCATTATGAAAGTGACAGCACATTGTCACCAGATGACAGGAGGATGTGATTAATGCGAAGCTTCTGAGGGAAGTATCTGTACCTGTTCAGGGTGCAAAACTGAGAAATGGATCAATATTTAATGACATGCTAAGTGCAGAAAGCAGACTCTGCAGGGAAATGTCTCTAATGGAACAGGAGACAGCCTGAGAGTACATAGTAATTTATTGCAAGTAAAACTAAAATTAAACTTTGGGATTTCAGTTTTAGATTAGGAGCTGATCCATTCCCATTTATCATGCTACTTGTTTTAATTATGTTTCTAAATTTTACAATAGCCTGCTATTATACTGAAGAATGTTAAATTATGGAGGTGTAGGGTTGAAAGGGATCAGATCTTGTCCAACTGCATAGAAGTAGGATTGTTCTTTTCCCAAAATAGATGGGAGCATCATGATCCAAAGCAGGAAGTACTATTATACCGTAACTAAAGCTATGTATACTAATTGCTAAAAAGGGGGATGGGAGATAAAGAAAATTCTACAATCTGTATAAATTGTTCTAATTTACTTAATCCTTTATTTGGGATCATTTATTGTCTATTATTATTGTTTTAAACATTAACAGGGTTCAATTCAGAGTTCCCCAGAGCAGAACTTCACTAACTAGATTCTCCCACTGGCAGAGAGCATGCAAAGGGTGTACTTATCACCTATTTCGTTGCCCCTTGTACTGTACAGATTTTGATTTTGATTTTCTTTTGAAGAATGTTCTGTTCTTGATGCCTTGGTATCCTTTGTCAATGACTTGAAATAAATAATGGATTGTTTGTTTGTTTGGTCCTCAGGTATATCAAATTCATCAACCTCATGGCCTATTGAAAAAAATCAATTCCGTAATTCAAAAAATAACAGAGCCCATCCAACCTAAAGTGGCAGAACACAAACATCAGACAGTGAAACGCCTCTCCTACCCCTTCTCCAGGGAGAAACAACACTTGTAAGTCAAAGTTCGTCATCTTTAATGTCATTTTCAGCAAACTCAGCCTCTGGGAATACAACTTGAAGATAAATCATGAGAATATTAATAGAAATACGTAGGCCAGTGTTTAGATGCAACTAGCACTAAGATGATCATTTTTTCCAAATAAACAAGATCTCGTACGACTCGAAGAAGAGCCTTGTCTTAGTCAGCTTCCCTAAGAAAGTCTTAAACAAAGAAATATTTGTGCCTCTCCGAAGTTAGCAACGTCAATAAAGAAAGACCAATCATATAGCTATGATTGTTCTCATCCGAAAGCTAAAAACAATTGGGTTATGTCACTTGCATGCCAAAGCGACCCAAACAATAGAGTGGCCATCCTGTGTTTCAGTCTTCATGTTTGCCAGGAGCAAAGTATAATCAAGGGGAGAGAAAAACCAGTTTGTTAAATGCTCAGTGTTTGCCCGAAGCAGGCATGAGAGGGAATGAGTTGGGGCGGTAATTCAACTAACAAGTCCTGTCAGCGCAAGGATTTCTACTTACACAACGGGACTCCGACTTCTCACATACCTTGCACTCCCCCTCCAAATCTGTTGGGGAACCCCAGAACAGATTTAGTAGATGCAAGGGACAGGAAAGGGGGAGAATGTTCTGCTGTGCAAACAACAATCCTTGTCCTGACATGTAGCAGTGCGACCCCAGGTCTCTCGTGTCCTTTAAGGTTCCCCATTGGTACCACCCACTGTGGCAAATAAAACAGCATACTTCAGTGACTCGGGCTAATCAGCACACTCCAGGGCTAAAAATCAGCTTTCAATGTGATCAGAACTTTAAAAAACTATCATGTACTGTCCACAAATGAAGGGTTTCTTTGGTTGCCAGTGGTAACGCAGGGAACCAAGAAGTAATGCTTAGGAATCCTAACTGTATGACCGGAAGCTGCAGATGACCAGCTTTCCACGTTGTTGAGCATAGGCGCCGACTCCATGGGGCTTGAGGGGGCCCGAGCCCCCTCAAAAATTCGTTTGGGGGGGCTCTGCCCCCCCAATAATCTCCGGCGCCCCTCCAGCAGAGCGCCATCGCCGCCCCTCCCCCAGCCCAAAATGCACAGGGAAGGGCGGGCTGCATGCCTCCTGCCCTCCCTCCCGAGCAAAAGCTCCACCCAATTTCCTTTGGAGCTGATTAATAGGCGCAGCACGCTCTCCCCTATTCGCTCACGAGGAGGCGGCGCCACTTTATTTGCATATTCATGAGCTTATTTATTATTCATGAGCTTTCCCGGGGGCCCCCCCCCCAATATTTTTTATAAGTCCGCGTCCCTGCTGAGTGGTGGTCGACATAGCTCTTTTCCCCTGCGGCTATCACATGCTAAGTGGCTGTATGGATTTGCTCCAAATGTAGATTAAGCAGGAGATAAGAGAGAAGCTTTTGCTGTCTTAGGGACCCCATCTTCATAGCTGGGAAACTGTAAAAGTACAGTGGTACCTCTGGTTACGAACTTAATTCGTTCCGGATGTCCATTCTTAAGCTGAAACCGTTCTTATCCTGAGGTGCGCTTTCGCTAGTGGGGTCTCCCGCTGCGTGCGTGCCTCTGCCGCATGATTTCCGTTCGCATTCTGGGGCAAAGTTTGCAACCAGGAGCAGCTACTTCTGGGTTAGCGGAGTTTGTAACCCGAATCATTTATATACCACTGTATAAGAAATGTGTGTCCTTGGGATCTCTGTGTGACAATTAGTGCAGATTTTAGCTATCATTATAGGATAGATAGTGATTCTCTGCAGAGTAACGAATGTGCCTTTTGTTTTGTAGAGACGCACTTGTACTGTACCCATTGTGTGCTTACTGCACCATTTATTTTGTGTGAAGGGGGGAGAGAAAGAGATTTGCAGATAGAAGTATATGAAATCAACAGACAGCTACTTTAATATTGCAAGAGCAGCAACAGGTGCTACACATTGTCTAGGAAACAGAGTTTATTATTCTTCCCATCAGAGTGCACATTCAGTTTGGCTACAGAATATTTGGGGGCTTCTGAGATTTCTAGAGAGGAATGGCTGCTGTCTAAAGATCTGGAACTGGAAGCAAAAAAGCAATGCATAGGAGATATTTATTATTCCAACACATTTAAGATGCTGCTGGTCCTTTTTTAGGGAAATTCAGAGAAATAAAGAGTCAACATTTAAAAGTGCCACCTCTTCTTTCGAAGACACACACAGCCAGAAAATAAAGTTGACTTGTTTGAAATCCATATTATACATTTAATCACTCCCCCTCTTTCAATGTTTTGACAGATTTGACCTCTCTGACAGAGATTCCTTTTTTGACAGCAAGACCAGAAGCACCATAGTAAGTATTACAATATAATACTTATGTTATAATACTTACGTTATAAAAAATATTGTATTCCCAGTTTACAAACCAACCCTAATTATGTCTACTCAGAAAAAAGTCCAATAGGGCTTGACTTCAATAGAGCTTCCTCCCAGTTATTTATTTATTTATTTAACAAAAATTATATGCTACTTGATTGTAAGAAAGCCTGTAAGCTGTTAATAAAATGCAAAATCCTTCTTTAAAAACATTCAAATGCTAATAAAGATGTACAGTAACTTAATACAGTGCTTTCTTTTTTTCTTGCTAGTGGAGCTCACTTCCCCCTATCATATGAGTCATCTCCATGTCACAGAAATGTCAGTGGCAGTGTTGTATGAATCTCAAGCCAGGTCATCCTGAATTGAATTCCTGTCCCTGTATAGAATTACTATGAAATATAGGAACAGAAAGTAATGACAAGAAGTGCTCCTAAAACATTTCATAAATGCCCCCCCCTACACACACACACACACACATACACACACACAAACAAACAAACTCAATGTAACATAGAATACCTGTGAGCTGGCTCTTGGGCATATTCACAACAAAGAGATTCCCCACCACAAACACATGTTCCAGAGTGGTCCCAGACAACAGCTCTCTTTTTGAATTTGAAATCAGAAAAAATCAGTGAACATTGGACAACCATGTGAACCACTGATCCATTAAAATCAGCTGTGAGCCACTGATCCATTGAAATAGGAAGAAATCACCCATACCCAGGCCTAGTTATGCACTGCTGACAAATAAGGGCTGAGAACGAGTAGAACCATGCCTTTCTTTCCAGAACGTGTTTACTCTCATCAAGTGGAAAGACAACCATAGAAAGAATCCGTGGGAAAGAGATAACATTTTCTGTGCTTCCTTTTGCATTTATCAATAAACAATACATAACTGTAGCTGAAGCGTATAATTTTTTATGCGGTTATGTAAAGACATTCTCTTCAGCAGGGGACAGCAATTGGCCAGCCCTCCCCCTTTTTAGTCACTTGTTTTCCTTCTTCCCTGAAGTTGCCATCCAGCGTTCATTTCTAAGCTCTCTTATAATATTAACTAAATAGGTCAATATTTAGTCACTCCCATCCCTAGCATTGCATGACAGACAGTTCAGAAGCATTCATTTAGTTTTCTCATTTAAAAGTCTTTTCTTCTCAGCTCCTCATCTGACAACTGAGGGGAATATTTTCTTACCTCCCAGGACTTCATGATTTTGCAGTGGTGACGGGTGACATTCCATAGCAAACTTAAACATGGAAGAAGGGTCCTTTGTTGTCTTCCCCATTTCTCAGAAACTAGAGAATGCTCCAATTTCCAGCTGCTCTTGTCTACTCTTGAGTGGACTATTAGCATAGTGAAGAAGAGAGGAATAATTGTAATAAATAAATAAATAACTGTTCAGTGATTTATTTATTTTTAAAAACCCTGCTGGTTTAAAGTCATGAGTTAAGGCCAACACATGTTGGCTCCACAAATCAAGGAAGCTGGAAGCTAAGGCTGATGCCTTAACAGACATGACCCATGATCGGCAATGATGTGCAATGGATTTGGAAGTGCTCATGATCAGGAGAAAAGCTTTCATTCTTTGCTACGTTAAGATTTCCACCAGCAGGTATGTTGCAAGGCATTTAGAATTGCCTTAGAATCTGAGGTTCTTGATGGAGGTAAAACATGCAGGATCAAGAGTATATGAGACATCTTTGTCCCCATCACTGCATCCTCCCCATCTGAATTTGTGTCGTGCCCACAGGAGTTTCTCGTTTCCAAATGTGGCCATGTTATATTAGAATAGACATTGCACATAGCATCTGCAATACGGTTCGCTCCACAGTCATTGTATTCCTGGCCAAAAAAATTAACTTCAAAAATTGATCTATGCACGTATCACCTTAATGTACCAGAAGTTGTCATAGACTTGAATGACATAAGAAAATGGCTGCTCAGAAGTTCACCAAACCATTGAAGGATCACATGCCCCAGCAAGCCTGAATAAAATGCATCAGCCACTTTTGGAAAACTGGAAAGAAATGCGTTTTGAAATTGGAGTAAAAAATATCAATGTGCTGATTTTCAGCACCTTTAAACTTGCTGCTGCTGTGGCAATTTTTAGTGGATCAGCTTGATCATGTACACAAGGTTTTCAGTTATTAGCTCAGTAAGTGTCATTTTTATAAATTGTAGAATTTATAATAGTGGGACTTTTTTTTTGTAAACTCAAGGGCACTCCCATGCCCTTTAATGAGTCACTAATGAATAGCATCCAGTTTGTGGTTGGTCCTCTTGTCTTGTCAGATGTTATGGGATGAAAGGGTCTGTACAAAGGCTTTTTAAATACTTCCTCTATGGAGTCCTTCTATCTCCCTCCTTTCCTTAATCAGTCCTCAATAATCCAGCACACTCATATATCATATATCATATATCATAATGTCAACATTTTTCGTATGCTGATGTCATCTTTCACTTCCTGTGGCTCCTTCAGTAATCCAGTACTGGTCCTTTTCTCCCATATAGACTTAACTAGCCTTACTCATGCTGCCTTCTTTCCTTTCTGTTATTTGCAAAGAGAAAAGTAAACTGTTAACAACGTTTATCTATTGCCACTTTAATTGGGGACGTGGGTAATATATGCTACTTCTACTCAGACTAAAACCATTGCAATTAATGACCCTCAATCAATAGGTTCCATTAATCTCCATGGGTCTACTTTGTGTAGGACTAGACTTGGATACAAGCCATTAGCCCTAATTTTGTTTTAAATAACTGAACAGAAGTTGCTAATATGTGGAGCATCTTTTAAGAACAATCCTCTGGTGAGATGCTTGTCGGAATTCATTAATTCTGTATAATGTAAAACTATTTCTTTCTAGATTTTCCACCTTGCAAATATTGTATTTTGAAGGGCAGCATACAACTCCCTTTAAAATTTAAGGCTTAAATAAATGAGCAAATGAATGCAGAAACTACTTAAGATTGGAGTTTAAAACAAGTCTCTTGATTTTATACCAAGCTTCAAATAAATATAAAAGACAAGATATGTATCAACACCATAAATAGCAAAATTCACTTACTGCTGTTTTCTCTATATCTGTATTTTAAAATGTTAACATTTATAAAATATAAATAACCCTTTTTTAGTTTTCATTTTACAAAACTCTTTAAGTATCAATTCTGCCAGAAATACTATCCTTCGAGGTTTTTTGGTTTTTTGCAAAGGAAGAATAGTTAGTAAGTATAGTTCTTTATTGTTTGTTTCCATGGCGTGATAATCCAGCTGCAATCCACTAATTATATGACTTCTATTTTTGACACACAAAAATCTATCCAAAATGCAAACATGGCCACAATGCTAAAACGGTACATGTTTAAACAAAACAGTGCTTAGCAAAACAGAAAGAATGACTTCAGCATAATTCCAAATGTATACCTAGACTTGAAGGTAAGTACACCACTTTGGGGCTCATTAGAGTGGGAAAAGAGCCTATTGTTTTGGAATGTTTTAATTGGCTTGAACCTGCACCTTGGAAGTCAAGGAACCACAAACATGGATGAATCATCCAACTCAATTGGGCAGATGGGAGTTGCGAGCGAACCGTTGTTGTTGTTGTTCAGGGAACTCCTGAATAATAGAAGTAATACGATAGAAATAATACAGTATATGTATGGTAACTATCTGGCATACATGGCAATGGCTATAGTTTATAGGGTGGTGACCCAGAAGTGGACATTTGCAGTTATTTTTAACTCATGGAGCAGAATGTACACATATGGGAAGGTATGGTTATCAACCTTAGGGGGGGGGGGAGAGCAACCGAAGAGTCAGTAATGGCATTCAAAGCAAGAGACATGGGGAGGTATTCACCTACCATGCCCCATTAGTGCAAGGATCTCTGCTTGCATAGCAAAACTTCCCTCCCTCCCTCCCTCCCTCCCTCTCTCTCCTCTACTCCTACCCTGGCTAGCATCCTTCAACAAATCTGGTTCAGAGGGTTGGGAGATCCCCTAGAAAAGATTTGGGGCAGCCAGCAGGGAAAGGAGAAGGAATGCTCACCTTATTGAATTCTACCCATACTGCACAAAGCTACTAATTCCTGTGTGCTGAAATAATTGCAAATTCTTAATATTCGATGATGGTGCTCAAGAACTTAAACCTGCCAGTGCTTAAATTTGATCTGTATTCAATCAAAATCTTACTGCTAATTTCCCAAGGGCTACAGGTGACCTGGTGTTTATAAAACCATTTTTTCCCCTTGTAGGTTTATGAAATATTGAAAAGAACTACATGCACCAAAGCCAAATATAGCATGGGTAAGAAAGTTTATTTAGCTTGCAGATCAGCATATTTTCCAGAGTCCAGAATATTTGAAATTTACGTGTGAAGAGTTTGCAAGTTTTTTTATTCTCTTGTCTAATATAGTTCATGTAACCGAGAGTGATTTGCGTGAGATTTTAACTCGCAGAGATTATGAACTGCTTAAACTGATTTTGTGGAGAGAGACTCAGCTGATATACTTATACATAAATGATAAACCAATATATTGCATACACTCACATTGTTTATGCATCTCTCTGTTTTTAGGCCATCAACCTTTTATGGATACATGCCATATTTCCCATGCTCTTTGGATATAATTCTGCCAGGTCTCAAAACAAGACATGTGCAGTACAGTCCTATGCATGTTTACTTGGAAGTAAGTCCTACTGTGTTTAATTTGACTTACTCCCTAGTAAGTGTGTTTAGGCTTTTATCTTTTGTGTGCATCTCTCACTGCGCTACTCTAATCAAAGCTAACCTTTTAAATTTATTGTAATTTCTATTTTGGCAAGCCATTCACCCACAGGGTGTTAAAAACAAGCATGGGAAACCGGATTACTGCTATGCATGTGCAAATATTGTCACAAAGACTGATTAAACAACTTTCGAATAATGCAAGACTAAGCTTTGATTATTTATCAATCCCTGGCTTAAACTGGGCCATTTGATCAACATTTCCCATAGCACTCTTATACACTTCTTTATTTGTTTGTTAAGTATTTTATTTATTTCATAAAATAATTTTGCCCTGCTTTTTTTGCTTTTAAAAGCCCTTTTAAGGCAACATACAAAGTACAAATCAAATCAGAATGCAAGTTGAGTGTCTTCTGCTGTGCCTTTAAGACACTGTAATGTGGGGTTTTTTTATGGAGGTTCTTCCTTCAGTGGTATGTTATTGAGAAACTTGTGGGAGGAAATACCTTACAGCCTGTTTTAGAATATACAGACATATGCCTGAGTCTTGGCACTGTGTTAGAGTTTGATGCATTGGTGGCATGTGCCAAGCTGGCTTTGTTTCTCTATGGTCTGTACATGCTTTATACAACAACAGTAATCAAACTGGTTGATTTTGTAAACAACCAGGAATATTCATGGAATCAGCCCTTGCTTAAAAGCTTGTGTGTTGTTTTATGAAAATAAGCGTGACTTTTTCTTTCAGGAGAAATCAGGTTTCAAGAAATCATTTCCTTTACCTATGTCTGATCATAGCATTTACAAATCAATTTGCCGTTGTGGTCACAAAGTGGCCTAACAATCATGACTACATTAACAGAGAAAGTGGTCTGATAAATTATATATTCCTTCCATCAGAAGTGGATGTGGGGGTTGGGGAACACCAGTGTGCACAGCTTGATTAAAAAATAATGGTTGGGCACTTTCTTCAAAAGATGTAAAGTGATGTAATGCCGTCTGGGACTGCATTTTATATAATCCTAACAGTATATCAAAGTGTTGGTTAGGATCAACAGCCAATCTGAAATGAACTTCCAAGATGTCACTAACTCCAAAATCTGACAAGACACTTCCACATTTCTCAGTTTTCAGGTGACTGACACCCAGAGCACTTTTCAGCAGATTTCATCCTCGGAACCTTCATTCCGGTTGGAAACATAAGAGCCCCCCAATGAGGAAAGGCCCAAGCCTAATAGTAGAACATCAGCTTTGCATGCAGAAGATTCAATGTTGAGTCCCTGACATCTCCATTTAGGGCTGGGAAAGAATGCTGGAGAGCCACTGCCAGGCAGCATAGACAGTGGTAGATGTAGCTGACCAATGGTCTGATTCAGTATAAGGCAGCTTCCTCTATTCCTATGTGATCCTCATTTGAATGGATTGACTAGCAACATCAGTGTAGGGTGAGGGCTTGTCAAACCAGGAAAAATCACTTAAATGAAGTGATTTCTTGTGGGGTTGCAGCAATAGATTTCCCACTCTAATAAAACTAGCCTAAGTCTGCCACTTGAGTAGGTCATCCATTGACATTTTGTCAAATCTTTTGTCAAGGTGTGGGCTTGTTGTTCCCAACCCTTTAATGCTTAACAGAAACACTTACTGATTTGTTTCCTGTGGGTGCTGAGAGGGGCAGGGAGCCATTGTGCAAATAATTAATGATGCTAGACAAATGAGCAGTGTTGGCATTTTCTTTCTTCTTCAGAGCATGATCGAAGCTTCTGATGAACTGGGAGCTTTTAGTAACAACTGCACAGATGGTCTTTGGCATTTAATAGACTCAGCCCTTCATTTGCCATCTACAGCCATAAACATAACAATGTGCCAGCAGTGCTAAGGCAATAAAACTTGATTATAATTTTTCTTATGGTCAGGTATTCACCTACACCTTCACTCTTTTAAGTACTCTAAACAAACAATAGCAAAAGACTCGCTTGGCCAAAGAAATTAACTTCGGTTGCAATTTCACTGCTAATAAATTCATGTGCATGTGTATGTTACTCTTTGTACAACAAATTCAAGTGAATTCCATGCTTTAGTCTTCTAAGTAAATTGGTTCAGGGTATCCCAGGTTCCATGTTATTGAGCATGAATACTCTAAATAATTTGCAGAAGGTTTAAGTAGAAATACAGAATTGGATGAAATATCAGCATGCAACTGGAAATAGTGTTTGTTGCAAGAGGCAACAAATAACTTTCGTAGACTGTGGCATTAGTATTTCTTCTTGATGCAAAATATCCTATCAGTGAAATAACTCTGAGGATAAAAAATGGGCGAAACTGAAAATATTTCCCCTCACAGAATACATCACACTGTATGTTTTCGTATTCCTGTCCAATGCCTTGTTATCATGTCAATATCCACACTGGTGTTTTCATATTGCTTTTTAATATTGGTTTTGCTGACTAGATCCAAGCCATTGTAGATAGGGTATCAGAATCAGCATGCATGTTTTCTGAGGTAACATGACCCTTTCAAAGTCTGTCAGGTATCCCGTATTTGGAAGCAGCTATATTAATGCCAGCAGCTGTAATGAAAAACACATCCAGCAATCAAATACTGCAGTCTCCAAGAGTCTGTAAGTAAGCAGTCGCTGGAATTCTGTGGCAAGCTAAAATTTCTAAGCGCATTCTTCACCCATTGCAAAATCCCAGCTATACTTACAGGAGCGCCTGATATATACTCTCTTATTCAATTTCAAATTTTAAAGATGATTCCCCTGAAGAAATAATATACATTCCTCTGAGTCCCCATCGCACAAACATTGTAACTGCTCAATCATACAACTAATAGACAAATGTGTAAACAGGGCAAGGAGAGGGAAGAAAGAAGGAAACTACCCTTTTAAATAAAAGACGAAAATGTGGTAAATATGGTAAGTATAATACCAAGGTCTTTCCAAAGGCTTTCCAAACAGCTTCTCTAATCAAGCTTAAATCTGATTTTTAAAACTCTTTTCTGTGGATGTATCTGTAAGAGAGTGGGAGGGATGGCTATTATTGACACCCCTGGTGGTCAGTCCCAGCTGAACTCTCCTCTTTCTGATAACCTCGCCTTTTGCTACTTCCAAACCTATGGGCTTGCTTTTCAAATCCAACTTGAAGCTTCAGGTTGTGTAATTTATTGCAATGACTAAACTCTTGACTCCGCAGCGTATGACTTCCTCTGATTCTCCACGGCTTTCCGTTTCTTAAAACAAATCATGTTTAATAATCTATACATTCAAAAAGCTGCGAAGGCAAATTAATGGGTCAGATTCATTCTCTAACAAAATTGCTGATGTTTTGAGAGAGAAATCTCCAGAACTGAAAAGTGGGTTTATGTGGGGGAATTCAGACTTGGAAGCATAAATAGATATCCTCTGTTGTTTTTCCAGGGATCACCAGCCTGCTTGCCAATGGCGTTTACAGTGCTGCATATCCCTTGCATGATGTAAGTGGTCTTGGAATATATTTTATGTTTCTAGAAGCTGATACCAAGAATCCTTAACATGTTAGGTATGAATGACACTATCCTAAACATCTTCAGCCTTTCATGAGCCCAGCATCCTACCGCTCTGCTTGCATATTACATTTTAGCAATTTCTTCAGGCCAACTTTTTACTGGTGTTGTAACACAAATAACAACTTTCTTTAGCTGTATATGAATCAGAGCCGTAAAAATGACTCAGCAAATGACCCACTCAGCAAACAACCATGCTTTTGACCTTCTTCTGCCAAGGACACTGGGATTGCTGATACATATTTATATCCGTGGCACCATGTAGCTGGTTTCCTGATCTAAAGCTCCTTGACATACTCCTAATAAATGCAACACATGCTCTCAATGGGCAGTTTCTGTTGTAAAGGTGGATTGCTTATATATGACTTGAAACACAGGCTACATATTAAATCATATTTACATGCATCCAGGAGTGGCCACCCTGTTGCTGCATTGTTATCAACTTTCTAAAGGCTGCAGATTGTATACTCATATTTCACAATATAATTAATTACTTTGGGTGCTTGAAGATGATGATGGTACTAATAACAATAATAACTACAACATGTGTTTATTATGTGTGAATGTGATGTGTTTCCCCAGCAATATGTTTAAACAGTTTAAATATTAACACTAAAGTCGAAATAATACATTCCCAAAGAAGACTGAGACCTGCTTCTCAGTGATCCTGGGGCTATACCTGGACCTCTACTTTAGGTTGTCCAGCTTTATATTAAAAAGGAATGCATTTCAAAGTGTTGGGTAGAAATATTTTTTATTATTAATGTGGAAATCTGCCTCTGGTCCTATTCTTTCATTCCTTTCTGCACTTAAAAAAGAATCACCTTATATTGCTACTGCCCCCCTTTTCCTGTACCAGTTCACCTTGTGACTGCTGTTTGGTGGCTTTTTCAAACCAAGCCAGAGAAACCTGTAGCAGCTTAGACACTCTGTGGAGTTACTGTAGGAGGAGGTCTCATAAGCAGCAGCTTACTTTCATGCATGTGTCAACTGACAATGTAGACACTCCTGTCTACAGAAACTAAGGAGGCGATCTCCAGCATTGCTGTGTTATACCTGGCACTAGGTGACTTTAAAAGATGAAGGAATGAAATACTCTTAACAGGGTGCATTCTTTAGTCTTCTTGTTCTTGTGAATCACTTCCAGCATGCAGTGGGAAAACTCAGGCTCAAACAATAGACATTCCTGGATAGGGATAACCTGACCACTGTAGCTCAGGCATTGGTAATCTCAAGACAGGATAATTGCAGTGCTCTCTATGTGGGGCTGCCCTTCAGTCTGGTCTAGAAATTTCAGCCAATGCAGAATGCTGCTGCTACACTGGTAATGGGAACAGACTACTGCCAACACATGACACCACTGCACTGGCCTCCTGTCTGCTACTGGGCCAGGTTAGAGACTCTTGTACTAGAGTGCAAATCATTGAACACCTTATGGACCACTTTACCCTGAGCACCCCAGATACGTCACTGAGGTCGTGGTGGGCGTACTATTAGTGGTTCCCTGTGGGCTAGAAGCCAACAAGGGAACATGCCTTCAGTGTTGTGGGTTCAGTTCTATGAAACCCCCTCCCACAAGTCGTCAGACAGGCACCATCCCTCTTTAGTTTAGTTGCCTGATCAATATTGTGTTCTTTCAGGAGCCCTTTGCACCTGAATGCTTCTCAAATGTTTTCCTTCTTTTTTTCCTTCTTTTTTGGGTTTGTCAATTTTGGAGGTTTTAAATTTTGGAGATTTGATTCATGTTTTTCATTTTGCATGTTTTTATTGTAGTAAGCCGCTTGGAGACCTACATGGTGAAAAGTGGGATATACTTTTTAAAATAGATGAATAAAAATGTTATTCCCCCTAGAGCAGTTGCCCAGTCTGCAAAGGGAGGGCCTTAGCCCTTGCAAGCCTGGTGTCCTCTAGATATTTTGAACAGCTCCCTTCAGTCCCAGCCTTAGCTGTGCTGGCTGGGGCTGGTGCGACTTTTCGCTGAAAAAAATGGATGACATGAGATTAGCAAAGGCTTGCCTAGGACATGATTTGCTAATTCGAAAGTCGTGTCTTTCTCTGCCATAATTACTGGTCTTGCATGTATACAAGAAGAAAATAACACATGTCATATTTGATTTGTTGCATAATATCTCTTGTCTTTTCTTTTTTAAAAAGGGAGATTATGAAGGTGAACACGTTGAGCACAATGACAGAAAAGTAAGTTTGTACAAGAGGACTCACCTCTCAGAGTGTCAGCCTTATGGGTCACCTCTCGAAGTATGGATCATATGGATACATGTCAAGTTTCGGGCCCAGCCAACTGATTGCATGGGGTAGCAAATGAGAGAGAACAGTGTTCTGGAAGCATATTCCAGAATCACAGAGTCAGGGTGGGAATGTTGCAGGGACATTGTGGCAGATAGTTTCTGTGCATGTGTGAGACACCACAGGCTTTTCTAAGCAGACTGTTAGAGTTGCAATTTTTGTGCAGATTTTATTGCAAGCAAGTCTCGTTAAAATTTGTTTTAAGCAAGTCTCGTTAAAATTATTTCCCAATAAGTCTTCATAGATCAAGGATGTTAACAGCCTTTCAAATATACAGAGAAATGAGTGAGATATCGGGGTAAATCTGCTTAGGATATTAGGCTGAAAACAAGGTTCTTAGTTCCCATGAAACTCTGATTCTGAGACAGATTCCATTGCTGACTTGTTCCCCATTCCTGAGTAACCTTTTTGTTGGTGTTGGTTGTTTCCTCCGCTCTTGTTTATTAGCCGAGAAGAAGCCAGAAAGCAATGTGTACACTTTAATGAGTCTGCACATTCCACCAATTGTAACTTTCAATAACTTTAGCAAGTACGTGTCTCTAATAATACCAGACATTATATGTTATTCAGTATTTGAGTGGCATGTTCTACCTTGAGTAATGTAATGAAAAAACATAGTTGTACTAGATTGCTAACAATCTATTTTAAAAGTGTGGTCTTTTGCTATTCAGGCATTGAACATGATGATACTCAAAGGGTTGGGGTGAGAACATATGACAAAATCTTACTCCATCTAATGTTACAAAATTGCTTGAGCAAGCCCTGCCAATTGTCCCAAATGTCATAGGAAATGTTACCCCTTTAAGGGCATATGCCATATAGTTTTCCAGTTGCAGTTGTAGGGTGGTTCTTGCTAATTTCAGAATTCCATTTATGTAGGGGACATTTTCACAAAATAAGCAATTTCTCATTGCTAATTGCTGCGTTATTCATCTGAAAGCTAAATATAACTGAACTGCTGCTCCTTCAGACAGAGGAAGGTATTGTTGTGATTCCTCTGTTCCATTGACACTTTCTCTTCCCTGCATAAATAGCAGAGGGATTCTCATGAAGGAGATGCTATTATCTGAGCACGCCAGTTGTCACTTTGTGCTATCTGGACATTCAGTCAGAGAGAAGAATGTACTACCTGGCCAAGGATTTGATGCATGCCTCTTCTCAATGCCATCTTCACTTCTTTCTCCGGTAGGGCTTAGGCCTGCATCCTCTGGCCTATTTTCAGTGCCTGAGCTCATTGCCGACACATGAAACAAAACAGCAGCAAAGAGAGTTTCAGAGTGAATTATCCTTACCACTGAAGGTAGCTTCACATCCTCAATTTTATCCTCAGGTGTGGGTCACCTGTGTGCCAAATATTCACACTTCTGGTTAAATGTGAAGGGCACACATGTACAAAAATGTAGAATCTGTGCCTTTAAAATATTCAGAAACAGATGATCACCATATTCTCTCAAGTATTTAAAAGAGAAACATGCCAAATTTTACAGGCACATACTCTTCCTGCTTTAACGGCACTGGCCTCTCTGTGGAATGATGCTGTTGCTTTAGGCAGCTGATTCTGGGTGCCCTGAAAGGACACCACATTTTTAGCTATTTAATTTACCATTGTTGTATTTTTACTTCCAAGCTTGTGTTGTCTTTGGTTTAATGTTATGTGTGAATGCAGCCAAAGAGGCTTGCCACGCAGCTGTTTACGAGCACATAACATGAGAGGAATATGGTACTGCCTTCCAAACAGCATGAGTGAACATGCAAAGCATTTTAGGAATCAAAACTTTGGCTAAATTTGGGTTATGGTTTATTTTTTAAAAAATGCTGATGGATGATCGGCGATTTACATAACTGAGCTTCAGATGAGATCGCTCTGCTCAGAGGAAATCTCAGTCTTGCGAAGATCCCTAGTATCTTTATTATTACTTGGCTCCAGTAAGGGTTCAAAGCCTCTTTTAAGCTGAAGGCCAGAACATACTGGCCTCCCCCAGTGATTGAAGAGCATCACAAAAGATGGATCATGTAGGGTAAAGGCTTCCCAACATTTTTAATCTGTTTTGTGATTCCATAATAAATAATTGAGAGTTTAATTAGATGTAGCGTCGAGCGCTAGACACATTTGCATCTGTTTATTAACGCTCTTTGCTGTTGTCGGCCCTTATGATATTTTGCACATACCCCACAGTGGTGTAAATCCAGACGAACTCTGTGACCTTAAATATCCGTGTTGGTATTCACCCTCAGTGCACTTTGATTTAAGAACAGAGATTAAAATGTACTGTTGCTCCACGCTGTAAAGTATAGTCAGGAAGTTGCTCTGATGTGTCCAAGTCAGCATTACTACTTCCAATAAGCCTGCATAAGGTTTAATATACCAAATGCAACTCCTTTATCTGCCACCCAGCAATTGGGAAGAAAAGCAGTGCTCTGCTAAGTGTTCGCTTGCATAGACAGATGTGGTGGAACATCTCTTCCATTCGGGCCATTTTCCCACACTACTGAACCAGGAAGCCTCATTGCCACCTCATTCAGCTGCAATTTTTCACTCTGCAGATTGCAATATAAAACCTTCCATTATGAACTATGAATCAAGTGGTCAGCCCAAAAGTCCTAAATGAAAAAAGTGTTACACACACACAAAAGTAACTGAAACCCTTTCCTTGACATTTGGAGAATTTGGTTATTTCAGAAGTTTAATTTAAGAATTGAGATTAACTGCATGCCAAGCATAACAAATTCATGATGGATCTCTGATTTTCATAAATGCTGCAATGGCGAGATCTCCAGAGTCTCACCTCTCCCGCAACATGATAGGGTTGTGTTTGCACGTTCTACTGTCATAGCTTTGGCCCAACTGACCTCCAGACTTGTCCCTGTGTCCTGTGGAGTTTGGATGGTAGTGTTTGGTAGTGAAATGCATACCTCTGTGGAATATTAAAACTCACTGGCTGTAATCCAACAAACTTGCACAAATCAAAATCAATAGCCATCATTTAAAGGAGGTGTTGAACAAAATTGAGGGTGGGGCAGAATTGCAGCAATCAACAATAACGCACCAAGCACAAATATTGTTATTTTTCTCCCTGTCATTACACAGTGACAAGAATAATCAATCTTTTTAAAGAAAGAAAGAAGAAAGAAAGAAGAAAGAAAGAAAGAAAGAAAGAAAGAAAGAAAATGGCCAGCTTAGTTTTCTCTAATTTTATGGGTTTATACTAATAGTGGTCTTTATTTGATTTGGCTAACATCATGGTAAAAAAAGAAGGAAAGAATAATAAAGAAAGATCATTTTGTCCTCTTAGGTTCAGTGTGCATCTTTCATATAGTGCATAATATTAGTTCAGAGACTATAAGCCAGGTTCTTCCGTCTTAACCCACACTAATAACTCAAAGAACAAACATCCTCCAGATCTATTAAGAGCCTTTCTAGTATGTGCATTGCTACAAATCATACATCAAGGCCGCTCTTGCCTCCCGCCCTCCCCCCAGCACCTTTATATCTGTCTGTTAGTTCTCTTGTAGATTAATACAAGAAGCTGTCAGTGAGCCAAACCATCAAACTCATGTTCAATACTTAATGCAAATTATATGTATTGGTGGATTAAAGAACATAAACCCACAAGATGGTGACACCAGAGGACAATGTGAACTCTGTAGTGGAAGCAAGGAAGGAACTGCTTGCTTGCAGTTTTAGTTTTAATTTTAAATTTCTTTTACAGCTCCTGTGTGAGGAATGGGCAAGTTATGGAGTCTTTTATAAGTACCAACCAATTGACCTAGTGAGGTAAGGAGAATGTGGTCCCTCATTAAACCTAAAATATTGCCTTGCCCCTTTCCTCCAAATGTTTGTTTACAGCTTGAGGCTCAAGAGAAAAGTCAAACTGCCCAGATCATATGTTCATCCTCTCTCTGTATTCAGTTTGACAACCAAGAGTGGTTCTAAATGCAGGTGGCACTGTGGTCTAAACCACTGAGCTTCTTGGGCGTGCCAATTTGAAGGTTGGTGGTTCAAATCCCCATGACGGAGTAAGCTCCTGTTGCTCTGTCCCAGCTCCTGCCAACCTACCAGTTCGAAAGCACACCTGTGCAAGTAGGTGCCGCTGAGGTGGGAAGGTAAATGGCGTTTCCATGCACTCTGTTTTCTGTCACTGTGTTCCATTGAGCCAGAAGTGGTTTAGTCATGCTGGCCACATGACCCGGAAGGCTGTCTGTGGACAAACACTGGCTCCCTCAGCCTGAAAGCGAGATGAGCACCACAACCCCATAGTCACCTTTGACTGGACTTAACCGTCCAGGGGTCCTTTACCTTTTTACCTGGAGATGCCTGGGACTGAAGTTTCTGCATGCAATAATGTTCTCTATTACTGCACTGTGACCCTTCCGCAAACTTAAGAGCATGCTTATTTTGTTTTAATTCAATTTATATCCTACCTTTCGTCCAGGAACATGCATGGTTATTCCCCCACACTCAGATTTTATCCTCACAACAACTCTGTGGCATAGATTAGACCAAGAGATAGAGACTGGTCCATAGTTACCCAGTGAGCTTCATAATTGTGTGGGGATTTGAACTCTGGCCCTCCAGGTCCAAATCCAACAATCAAACCACTATACCATGCTGTGTCCAACAATAGGAGTGGAGAAAATGGAATCACGGCTGGGGAGGAGTGGCCTAAACTTCCACAAATTGATGCCAAACTGATACTCCCCCCCCCTTCCCACATTCCTAGTATTTCATTTTATTTTTTAAAAAATGACACAACTGCTAATCACATTTTTAACACAATGTATAACAAGGCCCCAAAGGTAACAAGGCAGGCGGCAGGTACTATCTTGCAACTCCACCCTTTTCAGCATTTCCCAGGGAAATGCAGCTTGGGAAAAACCTGAATGCTCTGCTACCACCACCAAATTCAAGTGACACCACCTTACTACAAAAGCAGTCATTACGGCTGGATGGAACAGTATCCATTAGCAATATACTTTGACTTAATGAAAGCTTCACTGGAAAGAATCAGCAAGGGAATATATTTTTCTCTCTAAACTCCTACTTCATTTTCTTTCAACTTTTGGCCAGACACTTCGATATATTGTGCAGCTCCATTTATCACATTCATCTGCACAAAATAAAGGAAGACTTTGTTAAATTAAGACTCTACACTTAGAATCTGGGTTTCATTTATTGCTTTTGGAACAGGAGAGTCTATGCACTAAAAGGAAAGCTCATTTCAGACATGTGTGAGGGAAGGAAATTGAAGGCTATTGTTTCTACTTAATGGCAAACCACAGTTTGCTATGGTGTCTGGATTTTGCAAACTATGCTTTACTTAAAGCAGGCATGGCCAAACTTGGCCCTCCAGATGTTTTGGGACTACAATTCCCATCATCGCTGACCACTGGTCCTGTTAGCTAGGGATGATGGGAGTTGTAGTCCCAAAACATCTGGAGGGCCAAGTTTGGCCATGCCTGGCTTAAAGGAAACGGTGTACTGTGGTTTGCCACTAAGTAGAAGCTGAGCCTCCCAATCCTCTTGCCTTGCACTTGGGGCAGGGAGGAAAGAAGACATGCCTTATTGTCCTCATAACAATAAACCATGGTTTATCATTGTGTCTGAACTGAGCCAGTGTGAGGAGATCTTCACCAAGCCTGTGGTGACCAAGATAGCTATAGAAACAGATCAGCAAAGCTGCCTGATAAGCAGGAATGGATGACTTACTTGGTGCCTCCAGTCCTGGATCTGTTCCAAGCAGCATGCAGACAAGAATCCTCCAAGGGGAAATGCATTCCAACTAATCAACAGGGCTTATTTTCTCCTTCAAAGTCAACCCTGCTGTGTGATTCATAAACTTCAGCATGGTACAATTTAAGAAATCGTAAACATTGCACAATGTTTCCCCTTCAATGTATTTCAGAAAGTACTTTGGTGAAAAGATTGGACTGTATTTTGCCTGGCTTGGCGTTTATACACAAATGCTTATTCCAGCTTCCATTGTGGGGATTATCGTGTTCCTGTATGGCTGTGCAACAGTGGACGAGAACATACCAAGGTAACATACACATTTGTGGGTTTCCATCTTCTACGTGTTCAAAACGTCCTCATTTCCTCTTATGACACAGGGAATGTCCAGTCTGCTCAGTCATGCTTGCGTTATCTACGTAAAAGAAAATGGGAAACCTTAGATTTAGAATCACTGACAATCTTGTACGACCAATAATACAAAAATTATTTCAGAATTCATATGATTAGTCTTAGCACTTGTATTCGTGAATTGCCTTTTTTTAACAAAGGTAACTCACAGTGAGTTACATCAAACCAATTAAAACCAAAAATAAAATAACAATGAAAACCTAAAAATATGACAATTCAAAGAAAAGACTAAAAAACACAATTAACAAAAAGGCAGGACTACAGGTCCCACCACACTAAAAAAAAAAGGCCACAGTAACCTTCCAACTTCTGGCCAGAATCCTCGGGAGAGAAAACGTTTGCCTGGCATCTAAAACTACATAAAGGTGGTGCCAGATGTGCCTCCCTGGGGAGAACAGTCCACAAGCAAAGGACCACCAATGAAAAGGCCCGTTCTCGTGTCGTCACCCTCTGAACCGCCCATGGAAGGGGCACCGGAAGAAACAATAAAACAATAAAAATGTTTTAAAAGCAGAGATAACACTCTCCCTCTACACGAAGAGATCCATTCCTGCTCCTTTCACTGCACTTGCCCCTTACGTGTACAAGACTCATCAACAGGCATGAAATAAGTTTATCATCTGATTACAGCTGTATGAACTGTGCAGGTATATTAACTTCTCGCACATAGCTAACACTGCTGAACTCAAGATAAATGTATAAATAGCATTAGATGAACATATAAGTGTTAGCTTATTTCATGCCTGTTGATGTCTTATACATATAAAGGGCAAGTACTGCCCCAAATCCAGAGATGCTTATATACAAAAAACTATTGAGTGCTAATAGGTACTCAGCTTCCATGCACAGAAACTGCTTGACTGTTTCATAGATGGGAGATGAATTAATTTTGAGTATCGAAATATCTACACATTGCTGAAATTAGAAGCACATAGCTAGTTAGCACATAGCTAAGAACAAACTTAGTTGGTCTCTAAGGCACTACTGGACAACTTTTTTATTTTTTTATTTAGCTTGTTATATACAGTGATATTCTCTAAGAATGAGGCTGCAATGCTCTGTACGCATTTACCTGGGAGTAAGTTCCATTGAAGTCAATGGGACTTCTGTATATACGTACAGAACTATACTGCATAAGGTCCAAAGCTGATAAGATGGGAGTTTTACTAACTTCACTTAATGATCAATTATATGCAACTTGCTGTCATCAGTCTTGAAAGCTTGCATACTCTGACACCAACAGGTTTTATTCAGGAAAAAGATATCAGCTTACTTGCCTTATATCTCTCAAGAGTCACATTTTCTGTGGCTGCTTTTTAAAGCTTTCAGATCTTTAATTGAAAATAGATCAATATAGGGTACAGGAAATAGAAGGATGCTAATAATGTATATTAGTTAAGTGCTGCAACTTTCGACGCAGTTCTAATTTACGGGAAATGTCTGTTTTTCCTCAACATTTTTGTTTCCTTGTGGTATCTGGCTGATGGAATCGCTGCAAAAATTAGACGTAAGGGGTTCAGAACTTAGTGTGGCATGTGGGAGGAAAGAGGTTCCTTAGTATAGAGCAGGCATATCCAATGTGATGCTCTCCAGATGTTATTGGCCTACAAACTCCGTCAGTAAGAATGGCCAATGGTCAGGAATAATAGGAGTTGGAGTCCAGAAACATCTACACTGGCATCCCTAGAACTAGTCTTCTGAAATGTCATTCTCTGAAGTAATCCAGTCCAGAATTCTAAAAGGTGTCCAAATGCATAGCAAACAAACAAATTTCCAAAATACATAGTAGATCACCATTTAACCCTTTCCCCCGTGACTTCTCATATTCCTTGAAGCATGAGTTTGATTCTAATGGTCATTTTTATTATTAAGCATCATAGTTCAAGAAAAATGGTTACACATTGGGAGGAGTTCTGGAGAGGCTATGAGCTTATCCACACTTGCTCTTGTCCTGCTTCTCTTCCCCAGGGAAAACTGCTCTCTAGTGCTCACTCAGAACAAACGGCAACCCAATTTTCCGTGGATTGCTGTTTGTTCTGATTTAAAGCTAAAGAGCGGGTTTTCCCTGAGAAAGGAGAAAACTGCCCAGACCCATGCCTAGAAAATGCTGGTCAAGTGGAAAACTGCTTGGACGCATACTAAAAGGTTGAAGGGAGTAGGTGTCAAAAAAACCCTCAACCACCCTGGAAATGCTTTTCTCCTTCTGCAAATTGAAGAGGACTAACGGGATGGGGAATGTGTTTTGCACATGCTCCAAAGCATTCTGTTACTTACACATGTTTAAGGGATGGCACTGAAAGCAGGTCTTCAAAGAGCTGTGCTGCAAACTAAGCTCTGAGTCCATGTATACTTTGTACATAGTGAGGGTTCCTCTGAAGTCTGTTTCCAGAGAAGGCTCACCCTTGCCCTGTCTTCCTCACTCCTATAGAAATGCCTGCCTAAACAAGTTCTATGTGCCATGAAGGTACCAGGAGGTAGGAGTCAACCTGGGGCAAATTCCATTGAAATGCCTAAACTGCCTTGACTTGTTTACTTGCTATAATTCCTAGACGAAGGGAAATTTAGTAATAGGCAATGGTCTGGTACAGAAATAATTTATGGAACATGTACGTAAATGGAATGAGAACAGGTTACAGAGCTGGTGTTTCCTCCCTAGCCGCAATGTGAATTTCTTCCTTCCATCTTATGGCTTTCTATCTGCATTGTGCTAGCCAAAGTTAACATTAACCACAATTATCTTTAACTGGTGTCTGGAGACCATATTCATACCCTGCTTTCAAGCTCTGGTTAAAAGCAAACACTGGCCAGTATTAACCAGGGTTAATGTCAGTGCAGCAGTAGTTAATGCTGAAAAGGGAAGGAAAAGGAGAATGCAGAGGGCGGAGGAAAGGTTGAGGGAGAGCACAATTCTGTGGCCTGTCCCAGTTTCCTTAACTGTTGCTACATGTTATATTATATTGGCCACTTTACATTGACACTGGGCCAGTATAGCTGAGTAACTACAACAACACTAGTTGCATCTCAGGAGAACGGAGTGGAATGTCTTAGGGCACTGATGTTCTGCAGGCTCCTAGGTGTCCGGGAAAGACATTTCATGCCCTAAGCATACAATATTGTACCAGCACAAAAATACTTAGATCAGCATGACATTACAAAATACAGCAATAGCAGAGCTACACCAGCATAATAGACAAACATTTAAGGGCAGAGTTTCGATAAAGGAATCAGTGCTACTTCCCTTCTTCCTTTTTTTGTACTGTAACTTCATGCAGCAATTACTGTCATATAGGCTGCATATACACTATATATTTAAAGTGTACAAAGCTATAGCTCCCAGAACTCTTAGCAAACTTCAGTTCCCAGGATTTGGGGTGCATGCTTTCAATGTAGGGTGTATAAACAGCCATAGGTAAGTCTGAAATGAGGGGGTGGATTCATGAAAAGAGCTTTTGGCATGTCAGTCAGGTGAATATACAATCTGTATAAATTACAGATTGGGACCAGGGGGGAAACAGGACAAGAAAACACCAGGTTTGAAGAATGGTTTGTATTTACCTGACATGCACTGTTTGTTTTCCCTCAGCATGGAGATGTGTGACCAGAGGAACAATATTACTATGTGTCCCTTATGCGATAGAACCTGTAGCTATTGGAAGCTGAGCTCCGCTTGTGCCACATCTCGGGCAAGCCATCTCTTTGACAACCCAGCAACTGTCTTCTTCTCAGTCTTCATGGCTCTTTGGGGTAAGAATGTCTGCACGACTTTGGTTGGCCCGGGCATTGGCTGCGGTTTTTAATCTGCTTACTTGCGGAAGGAAACAAGCAGGAGGATAAATCAGTGTTTGTACAATTCAACAGTTAATTATCTGTAGATCCCCCCCCTTTTTTTCCTTCTCCCATAAAACTGCCACCCTTATATTTATGTTTTGAACTGAAGGTTAAAATAGAAAGCTGCTTGGATGAATATAAAATGAAGCATTTGTCATAAAACTGCTGCATGGCATGTATAGATAGCATTAAGGGGATTGCAGAGCATGCCAACAAAATCTATTTGCAGACTTGGCTTCCAAATTAGACCATTGGAGCAAAGATTTATTGTTGGGGGGGCGGTTCTTATAGAAATGGCCTTTAACAAAGTACGGTTGAATAATGACCAAGCTGCTAAGTGCATTAGTGTTATCAATAGGATGCTGTTTGTACCTCTCAAGGTGTCCTTTTATTTTTGAGGGGCATCCCACTTTTGCAAAGAGCCTTCCATGATCCAGGTATTGAGATGCTGTAGCAACTGAAAGCTATGCACCAAGCGGATTGTGTAAAATGTCAAAAAAAACCCACCTGAGATCTAGCTGTTAAAATTCAAAAAGAGTAAGGATTTGCCTTCATAGCATGACATGATCCTGAATGTGCAATGGGGGATCTTGCACATGCATTCTCACACATGCAGCACATACCTGGGATAATGTGATATGAATGTTTGCACATAATGAAATCTACTACACCTATTCCAATTTGGAGGTGGTGTTGAATGCAGTCCATAAGCAAGATGCTCCCATAGAACTGTATCACCATTATTGCCTGGGTGGGTTTCAGTTGTTGCAACCTGAGGATGTAGACAAGGTACTTAGAGACGTGTGGGCCACTAGCACTTGTTTGCATGATCCTTTCCTGTCTTGGCTGATAGTATCTAGCTATTTGGCTAATGCCGTCTCCACCCCTTCCTCGTGTGTTTTTGCCTGGCTAAATTGTATTCTTGGACGATGGCTTCTGCTTGCCTGCATGCACCATGGACAGATGTTTGTTTGAAAACCTCTGGCTTTTGTGTGGCCGAAATATAGACTTGTGTACAAAAGTAAGAGTTACATCCGTTGGCTGTGGTCATAACCCAGATTCCCGCCCACCCCCCAGCACACACACCTGGTTAGGACCCCAGATCACCTGGTCTGGGCTGATGAGCTGTAGCTGTAGAAAAAGTGGGATGGCAGGGTGGCAAGGCATGATAGTGTGACTGATTTCCACTGTTGAAAAAGGGGAGTGGATTATGGAGATGGAAACAGTGGCCCAGGAGGACTCAAGGAAAGCCAGTGTGGAGTCAATAATGTTGGAATATTGAAGAACATGTATGTAGCAGCAGCAGGAGGAGCAGATGGTCCAGTAGAAATCCATTATAAATGCATATTAAAAGTGTCAAACACTGGTTGCTGCGTACGCTTGCAAGAAGCCACTTGTCTAAGATGTCTGCACCCTGTTGCCCCGCTTTCAAATATTAGATATGTGGAGAGTAAAGCACAGCAGCTTAGACAACAGAATTTGCAGCAATTATTCTTACCCTGCATGAAATTGTAGTATGGTGCTTGTGTTTGTTTTTAAATTAAGATAATTGCCTGCCACGTAGAAAACTTTTTCATTATTGATGACATGTATTATGCCATTTGATATGAGAAATACAGTTCAAGTTTCCACTTGCTCAGCTGTACAGGGAATCAATTTTTTTCCTATTAAAATGCATTTCAGTCAAGTTACCTCTGTGAGAGTTCAGGACCTGGCTTCTTCCACCACCACCACCCCTTTTGACTAAATCATCTTTTTTTTTTATACTGCTAACACACACAACTGTATATTTTACTTAATAGGAGTGGGGTGGTGAGGGGTGTCTGTGTGATAATGGCAAGCTGAAATATGGACTGATTGAGTTTAGATTTAATTTTATACTGCAGTCAGCAAGAGGGAAGCCAAAAAGGAAGGAAGATGAATCTGAGCAAAACAACCTATGCCACAGAGATCGATGATTTGTTATCATGTAGAGTGGCTTGTCACATTACATGTATTGAGAAATGTGATATATAAGCCAAAGCAGAATGTCGTGTCTTTAAATAGTCTTATCCCTTCATCCAGGCAATCAAATATCCATTCTCTCCCTTTCACATTTCCCTCCCTTTCCAATACATTTGCAAGTCTCTCAGTCTAGTCTCCAGATACTCAGAAAATATGATACACTGAAAACAGCACTCCTCTAATCAGAAGTGGCCATTGCCTAGTCTATTAGTCAAAACAGTCCTGTAGACCAGAGTGGGAAAACATTAGCCCCCCCCCCCATGTTGTTGTTGGTTTGAAATCCCATCAGTTGCAGCTGTTGAGTTCAATAAGAAGCTGGGCTGAGTCTATGATTATTAAATAAAGATGCCTATTTTAGAGTACTTTCCATGTCCACACTGGTGTTCTACCTTCCAGAATTGTCTCTAAGCCCTGTGGCGGACTAGTCTAGGCTTAGGCCAGAGAGCATTCTGGAATCCTGGGTTCAGGGATGATTGTAGGGACGACCCCAGTACATTTTCTGTTTTTAAAGCAGATTTTGATCTCGTGTTTTGCTACTTTTCTCCACAACCGTAAGTGCTAAAAATGTTTCCTGCTGTTATTTTTGTTTGTTTAGGGAAAGAAGAGACTATGCTATCAAATTTTATGTGGCTTGGCATGAATTATATGGCCAGGCATCACTTTGACCCTTCTCTCCTTCTCCAGTGACAGTGGAGAGCAGTATCTCAAAATCACTATGAAGAAGTGTGCATGCACACAAAAGCTCATACCAATAACAAACTTAGTTGGTCTCTAAGGTGCTACTGGAAGGATTTTTTTTATTTATATGTTATAGTTTTGGAGCTTCTTCATTTTGTTTTTTTATTTTATTTTTACAGAGATGGATTGTTCAGCTTTGTGTTTTTTCTTTTTCTTTTTTTTTGCCATTGGTTACATTGGCAAGTCTGTATGTACATACCCATACACACTTCATTGCTAAGTTGGCTATTTCTAGCACAGGGCAGTCCAACATGTGGCCTGAGAGTAAGCAAGGCTCAGGGTTTTGGAAAGGAGACGTGAGGGGGCCCTGATGCGGTCCTAGAGTCCACCTTTTTTCCTTCCCAAAGCCTAGTTAGCACTTTCCCAGCTTTGGGAAGGAGTTGGGTGCGCTCTAGGTCCCTGTCAGAACCTTGCAACTTGCTTAACTGGCTTTGGGAAGGCAGCATGAAGGTTGGGGGTCGTCAAATTTTGGCCTCGCTTCCACCCCTGCCTCCCCCCGCCCCCACCGTGTGCACAGCAAAGTAGTGGGTGACCCACAGGTCTCATGTCAAAGTACTGTTGCAGCCCACTTTGTATGAAAAGTTGGACCACCCTTCTCTTGCATAAAAGAGGACCCAAATAGTTTTCTGTGTTTTATGTCATTTTAACCATGGTGGTTCAGCTGCAGACTAAGTATTGTAAGCTTGTGCAAAGGAAGCTAACTGACTAAATTGCAGTTTGTAATCTAGTAATGAAAATTCCAGTCCTTGTTATTGCCCCACACTTCCTCTCTGATATTTGCTCTTTATAGCCTTTCAAAAAATTATGTTGCTATCACTGTGACAAATGCAAGTCTTCAATGTCCACCTTGAAGAGACCAACCTCACAAGTATAAAATGGAAGGGAAACAAGTGTGTCATTTTGAGCTACTTGGTACAGGGCAAGATTTTATCTTATTTTTCAAAGGGTATGTATGTCTCCCTAGGTCTCTCTAATCTAATACTATCCCATTCTGACTTGCAGCAGCTCTGCACTGTCTAAGGTGGAGGCTCCCGTTTTCCCCATGAGTCTGCTTTGAGCTGAAGCTGTGCAGGGAGCGTACTTGGGGACATTCTGCACTCATGCACGTTCTCTCCCACTGAGCTATGGTTTCAAATGGCAGCCTGGTGGTTTGTGGCTGCGCTCTGTTCTTTGAGGCCAAGGTTGCATGACATCATGACAAAAATGCATGCACAACCAGTGGTTTGGAGAGTAGGCGTTAAAAAAATATGTTTCACTGCATGGTCCACACACAAACACAAGCATCCAGCTACAAAGACACATCCTGATCATCTCCTTGGACCTAGCATATCTGCATGTTAGAGAGTGCTACAGTTCCTTTATGGCTTTGTAAGCTAACGCTGTAAAAGAGGGATTCCTGGTAGCAAAGCGGGGTGGGGGAGAGAAGTCTTTCATTATCCATAATTCTCACTTTATATGCATGTACCATTCAGCAAGTATACCAAGCATCCCCAAAAAGCTATCAACAAGCTACAGAAAGCCAAAAGCACCATTTTAAGGATTATAATTTTTTATTATATATAATTATGATGTCAGTGTGCAATGAGTTTCTAAGATTTATGCACAGGAGATACAGAACAGATTAACAGAACTGAATAAAACATGATTAAAACATGTTGGCAAATTCCCATTGTTGCTGCGTAATTAAGATACGTGGAGACCTTGCCTAGTTCCTCTCATTTTCCTTTTCTCCAGGGTTTTACTGGGATCTCAGTACAGCTTGTTGATCACATCTGTTAGCAGTCGCTTCGGAGCAATTCCCCTGGGGTTAGGCTTTCTCAGCACGCTTACTTCTTTCACAATTACTTATTTACTGTGTAGTGCTGGTCTGTTCCCAGTATTCGAATCCATGTCCCCAGGGCCTTCCTCAACCTCAGTGGCACATAGATTGATGTACACAAGCTGTGTTTGCTGCAGCTTAAGAGTTGTCGCTGTGCCCCTCCTTTATAGTAGCGTCCCCATTGAAAATGAAATTATAGCCACTCTCTAGGTTCCAGCGCAATTACTGGTTTTACATTTCCTTCTTTACATATTTTCTTGTAAGTCATTTGTCCAGTTAAGCTGAAGTGCTTGGATTTAAGATGATTTCACCTTAAGGAAATCTGCATAAGTCCCAAATAGTGCTGCCGCTGAAATTTGCAAGGAATGGAATTGAGGATTGATGCAGAGGTTCCAGCAGCCCCAAACATATTATTGCAGCTTCGGGCTGACAATTACTTTATCGGGAAGGTTTTCCCTGTGATCACTCATTGCAAATGCTTAACAAAAATGCAAGGTTTTATTAATGTTTTCAAAGAATAGGGGGGAAACCCAGATAATAGATTGCCCCTGCAGTCTTATTTTCATGAAGTGAGGGGCTAACCTGCAACAGGTGGGTGCTCCAATTCATGTATTTATGTCTTATATTTATATCTTGCCTTTCCTCCAAGGAGTTTGAGGCAAGGAGTCATCCAGCCTTTTGGTGTGTGTTGTCAGCAGTACGCTGGTGACACACAGCTCTATTTCTCCTTTACATCTGCAGGTGTGGTAGTGGATGTGCTGGACTGGTGCCTTGCTTCAGTAATGGATGAGAGCCAATAAACTGAAGCTCAATCCAGATAAGACTGAGGCACTGTTAGTGGGTGGTTCCCTGGGCTGGATGGGTGGAAGATTGCCTGCTTTTGAGGAGGTTACACTCCCTCTGAAGGAACAGGTACATAGCTTGGAGGTGCTCCTGGATCCGCTGTTGTCACTTGAGGCCCAAGTGGCCTCAGTGGTGTGGAGTGCCTTCTGCCAGCTTCGGTTGGTGGCCCAGCTATGCCCCTATCTGGACAGGGAAAGCCTAACTTCTATGGCCTACACTCCAACAACCTCTAGGTTGAATTACTGCAATGCATTATACGCAGGGCTGCCTCTGAAGACGATTCGGAAACTTCAGCTGGTGCAGAATGCAATGGCCAGATTGCTCACCAGAACAAGACGGTTTGAGCGTATAACACCAAACCTGGCATAACTGCACTGGCAGCTGATCAGTTTCCAATTCAAAGTGCTGGTGTTGACCTATAAAGCCTTACACGGCTCAGGGCCTCAATACCTTAAGAACCGCCTCTCCTCATACAAACTAACCCAGACCATGCACTTGTCATCTCAGGCCCTTCTCTATGTCTCCACTCCTAGAGAGGTTCAGAGGGTGGCAACAAAGGAATGTAATGTAATGTGTTTCTAAAGTTGCACACCTCCCTGAGATCTTTTGATAAATTGTGTGTGTGTGTGTGTGTGTGTATGTAATAAATAATTTATTGCTCCTACTATTTACCCACCCTTCACCCTAAGGTCCCAAGACAGGTTACAACAATTTAAAATATAACATGCCAAACAGTTTAAAACCAAAAATACACATCTCAGGTGTCAGAGAGCAGGTTCTTCCATTCCCCAACATTGTTCTCACAAGAAATGATGCTTTAATTGAAATGCTTAGAAGCGTATAAAGAAGCGTATAAGTTTCTGAGCATTCACAAGCACCATGTCAAATTTTAGAGTTAACCCAGGCATTGGCAAACTCGGCCCTCCAGATGGTTTTGGGACTACAATTCCCATCATCCCTGACCACTAGTCCTGTTAGCTAGGGATGATGGGAGTTGTAGTCCCAAAACATATGGAAGGCCGAGTTTGCCAATGCCTGAGTTAACCAGTCAATCAGTCAACCTGCCTATTGGTGAGCTAGACTCCCTGAAGTCTCCCCCTCCCTTTGCCTATGAACTGGCATAGGAGAGAAGAAGGGGTCTGGATTCATTTCAAGCATGAATCCAGATTTGGGAACCATGGGTCTGGGTTGACAAAAAAAATGGACCACAACTTTGGCTGGAAGTGGGGGCATTTCAGTTTTAAGCCATCCTCAGCCTTCACACAGCTTGAATATTAAATCCCTCTTGAAAATTGTGGGTTAATAGCCCAGAATAGTTGCTTGAGCCTCCATGGATGCTAATCGCTCAGGAATAATTGGGAACACCTCTGTTTAAATGAGATCCCCATCAGAGCTTGAGACAGGTGAAACACACATACACAGCCATGGGGAGAGAAAGGCAGATTCTGTGGAACTGGCAAAAGGAAAAAGAGTGGTAAGTTGGCTGAAGGCATATTGGGAGCTGAGGCATTTGTCTGGGGATCTGGCATGCCATAGTGAATCTTCTGCCTTTTAGGAGTGCCTCATCTTATGTACTGCTTATATATTTGTAAATAAAGTCAAGACAACTTTTATTTTGTTTTATTTCTACAATATTTGTAAATGAAAATTGCAAAAACAGCATTAAGTGTCCTCTCTTGTGTTTAGACTTACTAGTAACCCAATGTTATCAAATCAGTTACAATTATTTACAATCATCAATCTTAAAGGCAGTAGGGCAGGCATGACCAAATTTGGCCCTCCAGCAGTTTTGGGACTGCAATTCCCATTATCCCTGACTGCTGGTCCTGTTAGCTAGGGATGATGGGAGTTGTAGTCCCAAAACAGCTGGAGGGCCAGGTTTGGCCATGCCTGCAGTAGGGTCTTCCATTCTACTTTGGAAGAAATGTTTTAATTTATCTTTGGAGAGGAAAGAAAGTAGTGTGCTGTATAGCATATGTAACCATCTCTGGTTTTGTTAATGGAAACCGTAACAAATAGCAAGTGGTAGAATTAGCCTGCTCTTCTAAGTATTTTTTTTTCTTTTAACCACCCAGCTGCTACATTCATGGAACACTGGAAGAGAAAACAGATGCGTCTGAACTACAGATGGGATCTGACTGGGTTTGAAGAAGAGGAAGTAAGTTAATTTTGTTATGTGCTATTTCATTGGTTGTTACATCTGCCAAATGGTCTTTCATTTTTAGTTGTTGACCCATTGGAAAGGAAAATCCTGCACATATACTATTTCCAAGTTTGGGAAGGGTGTGGTAGTACGGTAGCGTGTCTTGTTACCATGGAAGCATAACGTTAGAGCTATAAAATGAGGGTCACGCCTAGTGTTGTGGGCATTAAAACATATATAGCTTGCAAACGACTCCCTTGATACAGGAAACGTGTTAAGTGAGCACACCCATGAAGAAGAACGGGAGGGGGAGTGGAAGAAAGAATTGTGTGATTTGCTCTGTTTTGAGAATAATTCCCTCCTAAATGCAGGGTGGCAAGTACTTCAGTTGTCTTTTCTGTGTGAGCCTAGATTTTTAAACTATAGCTTGTATTCAGCATATCAAACATTGATTGAAAGGTAAAATAATTCAAGACAGCAAATTATGTAGAAAATATTAGAGCGCACTGACATAATTTAAGAACTGCAAAAAGGAAAATGTTGATTGTTTTGAAAGAATGTTTTCTGCTGTTTTGCTGTTACGTTTTAATGTTTAGTTTTTTCATTTTTTTTCCTGAAATGTAAATTTCCCTAGAAATAGTTTGTGAATCAATCCAGTGTTTGTATAATCCATCCCTTACAGTTCCATTTTCAAAAAGTGAATAAATACTGCTTAAAATACTGCTTTAAAAGTTTAATAAGGAAATCAAGTAGCCTTTCGCTGTTAGTTGTGAGCTTTTATTTATAAAATAACTTCCGGGCTTCCAAATTAGAATTGTGTGACTGGTTTCAATCGCATGTCACGATGAACCCTACGATCTAGGTCACGCTGAAAGGAAACAAACCATAACCCCTAGTTTTGGGATTTGAACCAGGGATTGTTCATTTTACTCCTAACAAACCACTTTCTGTAGCTTACTAATCAGGGTTTGCTGGAATAAAACAAACCATGGTCCCTTGTTCCTACATAAAGCTAAGCTAGGAATCATGATTTGTTTCCTCAGTATGCAAACAGGAAGGACCTAAGCGCCTAAGAAAAGTGTGCTCATGACCAACATTTACCTATGTTTGCTGTGACATGCAAACTGGGCCACAGTGGATGAAGTTACTACACTAAACTAGGTTCAAGACAGAGTTGCATAAATTTTTGAGGTGTTTAGTAGCCTAAACAAGAGCAAAATGTGTATAGGGAGCTTGAGGCATGCACTTCAGCCTCTCATGTACACCCCTACATGTCCTGCCCCACTCCTTCACTCCCACCATTTGCTCATTCAGCGTGTCTGAAGGGAGTTTCAGAGCACATTCAGCTTGACCAGGCACAGGCAAACTCAGCCCCCCAGATGTTTTGGGACTACAATTCCCATCATCCCTGGCCACTGGTCCTGTTAGCTAGGGATGATGGGAGTTGTAGTCCCAAAACAGCTGGAGGGCCGAGTACTTAGAAGCCTCCCTCTTACTACCTGCCTTCTTATTGCAGGAAAATTGGTCATTGTTTTTGCCATTGCCTGTTCAGGCTGAATGCCTGAAGAGGACTTCTGTGGTTTCTGTCTGGATGTCTCAATCACTGCCTCTTGCAGTTAGGAAAGGCTCGTGAACCTAAAGGATTTATCTGTTTCTGACTTGCCACAACTTCCCTCAAATTTATTTTTGGAAGGTTCAGTTGGTGGGTTTTGCTCACACTCAGTGTTAGATTAGAACCGCACCAAATATTTTAACCAAAACCAGGTCACTGAAGTCAGGAGTAGAACGGGTGTGATTAAGGAGAGGCTACTTAATCGGTTACCCTGAGGCTACTCCCTTCTCTCCAACAAACATTCCCATTTTGCAACTTTCCTATCCCTCTGCTTTCTTTTTTAAATTTATTTTTGCACTGTGTCCTCTGCCTCTCCAGGGTTAGAGTTCATATCTCTCATATTTTAAAACTCTGGTGAGCAGACAAGGTTCCATTGAACTGTTGTGAGGATCTTCTACTACCATAAATCACAGCTAGTTTTGGCATAACATAGCATAGTATACAGCAAACCCACAACCTATGAGCATTTAACTTGTGCACGTTCAGCTTTATGCACTTGGCAAACAAAAATATATAAATAAAATAAAATATGCAATTTCAGCTTCAGGTGCGATCCCCAGAACCAGAACCCCTGTGTAAGTTGAGGGCTTACTTTACAGTTAAAGAAATCTGAGCTGAGTAAACCAACTGAATTTGCATTTGAATAAAAACGATAGTTCTGAAGCAAATGCATACAGTACTTTGTTTTTAGGTTGTGTATATGTGTGTCATCCTAAGCATCATCTTAGAAGAGACATTTCCTCTTTTATGAGAGAGCACAAGGAAAACCTCTTTTAAGATAATGTTTGCCAACTGCAGTGCTTACATTAAAATGTTTAAAACGCTGTACAGTTAATCAGAGGCACAATTTTGTCTATCAAACTAAATATTCACTTTAGTGTAATCATTAATTTAGGGCTGGGATAACGGAATTTAGGGTGGGTCATCTGCTTCCTGCAGATGTCTACATGTACACCCAGCAGACACCCAAACGTGACAGGGATTACACTGTCAGCTGATCTTTATCAAGCCTCTACACTCAATGTCAAAGGTGATATATTGAAATTACAGCCTTAATATTTTTTTGACCATTGTGTTGAAAGGTCTTCAGTGACATCAAAGTGTTCTAAGGCCCTGATCCTGTTGTTTGCTTGCAAACATGTCACTGGGCTAACATGAACCCCACATGCATACCTAGGATTGAGACGTAACCTATTGGATAACAATGGGAGGATGTTTTTATGGATACCATAAGACAACTGTTCTTTTATTTTTGGTACCTTGTTGTTAGCTTACATGAAAGTGGAAAGGATTAACTGTATCCTTCTAGTGGCAAATATCTTTCAGGGTTATGTTCAGTGTTCTCTGCAATGGTAACAGCCTGTGACCTGAGATAACTGCTGTTAATAGAATGTATTTTACTTTTCACTTAACACACTCCAGTCCCACTAATTCAGCCCTATGAGCCAAGCTCTTGAGCATGCATTTAAATCCTGCTGAAGACTGAAGAGGTTAAATAGTGTGAGACAAAATCCCCAGGAGCTTCTCGTCCCATTGAAATGAACACTGGCTGGAACTCCAGTGCACAACTGTTCTTTCATGTAGTTGTTGCTTATTCCATTGAGGGTTTAATCACATGTCACCATCTAGACTGTATACCACCATGTTACTTAAACTCATTCATCTTGATACAATAATATGTTTCCTTTCATGCTACCAATATAACATTAATATAAATGCAAAAGAAGACAGTTTCCCCAAAGATGCAGCCATGCCTCTTCTGATTCCTTCAGCCACATTCACATGAATAAAAACAATTGTATCCAGTGCAGAATTGTGCAACAGTGAAGTAATTTTAATTTTTATGTTTGTTTGTGTTTTTTATGGTTTCCTGAAGGAGGCAGTCAAGGTTTGGATTTATTTTTATTTTTATTTATTTTTTTGAAATTTCTCTACCTTTTTGATCTGTTGAGTGGTGAAAGATGCCTTCTGATCTCACCTCATTCTTTTTTCCTAGCATCTGATTTCCTTCCACTGCAATGATTCTTTCTTCCTATACTGTATATATATATCCCTGTTGGGACTTTTTCATATCCATTCCCATATCCATCTAATGCATTTTTAAGGCACTTTCTGAATCTTTTGGCTGTCTCATTCCTTCAACTTCTGATTATTTTCACATATTTTTCCAGTGTGTTTGGCAAATCTGAAATGCATTCTTTTGGCAAGACCGATCAGGTTAACTGATAAGAAAGAGCATCTCAGGTGTCCATGAACTGAATGCTTAAACTCAAACCACCTTATTGCTGTCCCAGCCCCTTCTTGGGTCATTTATGGTAACATCAGCTCAGATGAACAGTCTTCATCTGCATCTACAAATGACCTCTGTGCAATGACTGAAATGAAAGGTTCCAGTTTAAAATGAATTGCAAGGCTGCAACTCAGCACATTATGCAATATAAACCATTTGCTGCTAGAGAAATTGTTGCAGCGTTGTACTTGATTTGCACTGCTGCTGGCCATAATCCTGCCTTTGTCCCATCCCTAACTGTGTGATGCAGCTGCTGTGTCATATGAGAGAGGAGAGCAGCCAATCTTGCAGCAGCAGTGTCAACATCAAGGCAAGGACATCAGCTGAGCAAGCAGCATTGCAGATTATAGCTTAAGGTCTTTAGCTACAATAGCACACCAACAGAGAGCAATGACATGAGCAAGCATTTTAAATTAAATCCTAACATTTTATTTTTCAAATAAGATTAACATTTAAATTTTTTTAAATTAAATTACACTGGAACCTTTATTTGTTTTTGTTCTTGAACATTTGAATGGGTAGAAAATGGGTTTCATGGCTCACTAGCCTATTGACTTATTTGCAGGATCACCCCAGGGCTGAATATGAAGCTAAAGTGTTAGAAAAATCACTAAGGAAAGAATCCAAAAATAAAGAGGTAAGCTTACAATGTAGATTTTTTTTTATTCATAGTTAAGGTTTCCCCATTTACAATGGCATACAATAACAAACAGCAACTCTCCACCTCCATTACCATTCTTTAACTTCACATATAAAGAAAGACAGATAGAGATGGACACCCAAAAAGATCCCAAAGAGATGGACACCCAAGGACAGGTGAGCAAGAGAGGGTAGCTACACAAACGGGGAGAACTTGTGACCTTCTAGATCAGGCATAAGCAAACTCTGGCCCTCCAGATGTTTGGGACTACAATTCCCATCACCCCTGACTATTGGCCATGTTGGCTGGGGCTGGTGAGAGTTGGGGTCCAACAATGTTTAGACGGCCGTTGCTGCAGTAAAATAATCTGAGCTCTGTAGGGTTAATACAGATGTGGGTTCATCACAGGGATAGTGACCATAGGAATTGTTTTAAGATTCCAATAATTCCTTAGAGCGCGTGCAGCCTTATTCTGTGCACATTCTCACACCTAAATCATGGCTCGTGAATAGAATAGCAGTTTGCATCTCTGCAACAACAACAGTTTATTCAAAGCCAGGACAACTACAGAAGCCTGTGAAAATAGCATTAATATATGTGCACAGAATTGAACGCACTATATTGGTGTTTCCCAAAGTTCTGACAACTGGGACTTTCCCCCCGGAATGAAAATTGGAGGTATACCTTAAAAGATCTACTTTTAGAATGTAAAAGAATAAGAATTGCTTTTTCTTGACGAGCTCACTCCAGGGGACCCTGCCGTAAATCTATTATTAGAAGAAAATTGACTACATGCAGGAATACAGTGGGCAGCCTCCTCTATAGCTATAAAAACAGACTGTGACTAGAGCGAGGGATGTACTGTACAGGGACACGTGTAAGAAAGCCGTGATTAGCTGCAGCTGTCTGTTGAATATACACTCCGTGCCAAATCCAAGCTTACCTCTGTATAATGTGTGAAATGGCCCAAACACACCTGGACAGATTGCACTGTATAGTTGCCTAGTGGATCTGCATCTGGTTAATCACCATTTTCTCTCCTTCCCACCCCAGTCCAGTTATTTCCAAGGAAGCCACAAACTTCCCCCTCCCTGACCATTTCTATTTAGTAATTATTTTCTCTTGCTTCGTTTTCCATTGACTTTCTTCATTTTCCAGGTTCAAGTCTACATGAGATGCCATTTTCAATAGATTTACATATGTTGGACAGGTGTTGTGAATGTCTGGTCTGTAATACCAGAATCGGCACCTTAATTTGTGGGGGTTTTCAGTTTCATTTAATGCTTGCAAGGCTCAGTTATTTGAGCCACTGCTCCAGAAAAGGAACACTCATCTTGCTGTACGGCATTGCCCTGATGTCCTGTGAAGATAGACTAGTGAAGCAGCCTCATCAACACTGGAATTGTGCTGCACTGGAAACAACCATTGCCAGACATAAATATTACTTGCTGTAGAACTGGGTGAAGTTGAAGTAGGTTAAGGTCAACTTTGGGGATTATTTGCTTAAACATGAAGGCACTTCTGCTGTGACTGAACCAATTACATTTGTGTCTATACATGTAATATTTTGACAGTAAGGTTTTATCATGGATGGGTATGGGTATGGCCCATTTGTGAGGCCATTATATACCAGTGCTGTGTGTACCATTGCAGATATTTGTCACTTCAGGATCAGAACGTAAGCATGTAATTCACATTCTAATTCACCATGGGTTTAAACAGTTTAGTTCCATTTATTTCAGCGTGATCCTAGTTTAAAACCAGGGGGGCAGAAACCCAAACTGGTTTGTGGAATGATTTACCTAATTTTCAAGTCCTTAATTTTACATTTTAAGTGTTTCCCCTTTCTAACATCTCCAAGCTTCTTTGTAACCAGACTCCCATACAACAGCTACAGTCCTGATTTTCTAGAAGAAGAATAGACATTTGACGCACTTTCACTGATACAGATTTCTAAGTGCCACATGGTATGTGGTGGTCTGTAAAGGTGTAGATCTGGCACTTAAAAAAAAAATTCAACTACTACAGAATTTGTGAGAGCCAGAGAACTCCCTCACCAAATGCTCCTGTGTAAAGTTGTTGTTATTATTTACTAAATTTCTACACCACCCTCCATCTGAGGATCACAAGGTTTACAATATAAAAACACAAAAATACATACCATAGTACCAAACAAAAACAATACCCCCAGCCCACAGTTTAAAAGGCCATAGATTGTTTAATTAGCCAGAGGCCTGAGAGAAGAAGACTGATTTTGCCTGGCACCTGAAGATATGTAACAAAGGTGCCAGGCGAGCTTCCCTGGGGAGAGCATCCCACAAGCAGGCGCCACCACAGAAAAGGCCCCTTTCTTAGGTTGCCACCCTCCAGTCCTCTCACGGAGGAGGCACACAGTGAAGGGCCTTGGATGATGATCACAGGGTCTGAGTTGGTTCATATGGGGACAATAAAAGTTAGCGGGCATGGAATAAGAGGACTGGTGTTATAAATTTATATCCATATGGTTCAACAGCAGAGAGGAGTAAACTGCTCAAGTTTGCAAACAACACCAAACTGCTTAGGCTAGTGGGCCACAAATTGGCAGCTAAATTTCATTGAAAATATGTATGCAGCAATGCAGTTGAAACAAGAGCAAAAGTAATTTTTATGTACTAATGGGAGCTCAACTGGTATGACTAGCCAAGCAAGAAATTTACAGTTTATGATGAATAGCTCAATGAAAACTTTTATTCAGTATGCAACATTGGTGGTGGTGGTGAGGGGGAATTAAAATGTAGTTAACATGGATGTGGGGGCAGGAACTGCCAATGTTCTTAATGTACATCTATGGTGTGGACATGATTGAAATACTGTATTCCATTCCAGTCACCCTATCTCAAAAATGAACTAAAAAAGCGAAGATCTTGCAGGTAGATCCTTCTTGGTTTCTCCACAATCTCCTTTGGGTTCCACCATTCTGAAAAGGTTCATTCTACCTGCAAACTCACTACTCATTCCTGACTCCAGGTCATTGGTTAGTTAAATGACTCTAGTCATCCCACTACAAAATATTGTGGGATTTTGCCGATAACTTTCATTATGAAGGAGATCAGACTCCTGTCTGACACATATTGTGACACCTTAAAATAATACAGATCCGTTTTTATCCTTTGCATTGTTGTTGTTTTTGTTGTTGTTGTTTTACTAGATAACACTGGTCATTTTCCTGTGGTTTTATTTTGTACTTTCTTCCTTATAGTAATTTACTTCATTTCAGAAGACATAGCATTGGCCCATAACAAGTAAAGGCAGCTTCTATTTGTTTTTAAGCTGTAGCGTGTCCATATTTTGCTGAGGGTATTGATTTATTTGCCTATATGAGTCAATGCTTTGTAACAACCATATTGCATGACCCTTTTCTGTTTCCTTCAAATGCCATCAGAAGGGCCCGCAATTGCCGGAAGAGGCAGCCAACAAATGGCGGCAAAGAGTTAAGAGAGTCATGGCTGGGGTGAAATTGGTACATTTCATTCAAATTTGTGGAAACTTTCTGAACTATGAATAACTATAGAAAACACAAATTGATTTGTTTTCCAAACTTTGTCTGTTTATTGTCTAATATACACATATACGTATTTCCCCCCCTCCCCCTGCCCCCTTCTTCAGCACTCTTGTTGGGACTGGTTTACCTCTTTGTTTGGAATGGCACTGCATGGTTAATCCTTACATATTGACTGGTGTGGCACTTCTGCACGTGCCAGATGCTTGGCAGGGTTGCCTGCGGCTGTTTGTTTTTCCTCAGACAGCATGCGTGTGACATGCATGTGACATTAAATGCTTGTTGTTCTTGAAGTGGCCTTCTGTAATTATATATGACATCGCCATATTAACACATCATTCCCTGTTTTCAGGCTTTAAAAAAATCAAATAATCTCCATGACACAGTGTGTTGAAATACAACGGTGATCACTCAGCAGTCCATGAAAATAAACAAGATACGATCAGATATTAATGTTACTATATCTGAACCCAAAGATGTTGCCCAAACCTTTAAAGGTCCTGTAACATCAGGAGAAGGTGCTGCCACTCTGCTTCCCATTCTGTTTCTCCGCCGTGTTGTTGTTTTTTTTGTCACCTTTCTTCCTTGCCAAATGTAGGGGGCAACAACTAGGCTCCTAGGTGAAAAGGCCCAGGACAGAAACTCTTCTATATAGCAGCATCTGGCTTGTGGAACACCTTCCCTAGGGCCACAAGATTGTCCCTATCTTTGCCTAGCTTAAAAAACTATTTTGTTCCACCTGGCTCTTGATGGGTTTTCAATCCCACATTCTGGTTTTGTTTTGTTAATTGGTGTGTTTTTTAAAATCTGTGTTGTTTCTAGTTGTTGTATATTGCCTTGGGGCAGAAAAGGCAATTCATGAATACTTTTAATAAATAAAATAAACAAAAGGATGAGGAAGGGAGCCAGTGGATGGATAGGATGGGAGATGCAGTGGTTTCATTCTGTCCTTCTGCTATGGGACTTTTAAAGGAACTACAGCATATCTTAGTTGAGACTGAGCAGCTGTAAACTAATGCAGGCAAGACTGGTTTGAAAAGTATCAAGGCACCATGGCACTGAGATTCCACATCATTGACCATGTTATTGACCATATTTTTCTTGGCAAACACATATCCACACACACATCATGTTTCATGTTGGCCCAGTTCATGCTGTCTTGCCCTTGAGATCATCTGCAGTATATCTGTATATTGTTCCTTATGCTTGCCTCAGTACCAGTTTCCTAAATTTTACCATATTCAGGAAAGTAGCTCCTGTTCCTCTGACTTGGAACAGAAAAGACAAGCCAAATGAGCATACTCCTCGTTTGCATTCTTTAATCAACCTATTTAGTATCACATTCATCTTTTCCCACAAACAATGGATTTTCATGAGTGATGGAACTTTCACAAAGTACCTTAACTTTTCTGCATTGTTATAAACGCATAGCAATGTTCGGGGGGGGGGTTCATAGTGGCCAATATAAAATAGACTAAAATAGAGACAGAGATAAATGTGCTTTGACAATCCCTAAAAATCTGTGTTTTTGTAAAAAATAAAATAAAATTGCTTGGCCTCATAACACTGATAAACAAACTAGCTCAATTTGAAATAAATATTGTGATATACTGACCCCTTTATATAGTTGTAGTTAACTGAATTGACTCCACACTGTTCTGATGTTTGCCTCCTAAAATGTTTACTTCCATTCCTGTGTCTTTGCACTACTATCAAGTTATGCATTTGATTGCTTTCCTACACATCAAAGTTTGGATGACCGGCACAAATTAAAAAGAAAATGCTTTTGCCGCTACAGTATATGTGGTTATATTACATCGCAGGGTCATTGTGCTTTCTTTCATGCCATAGACTGAAAAAGAAAAACTGACGTGGAAAGATCGTTTTCCAGCATACTTCACAAATTTTGTGAGCATCATTTTCATGGTAAGTATTACCTAGTAAATGTTTACGGTTAAGTGTAATGCAAGATTTTTCAAAGGGTGAGCAAAGCTTCTGTAACATATTGGAGAAGGACCAAGCTTCTTGCTGACTTCTCTCAAGTCGATTTTTTGGGATACACTTTCATTAGTCAGTTTTTTTCTGTTCATATACTGTGATTTTATAGTTGATAGTCATGACTAGTGTATCATCCCCATTATGAGAACATAAGAAGAGTTCTGCAGGATCACGCCAAAGACCTCTGTGGTCCAACATTCTGTCCTTGCAATGGCCTGCCAAATGCTATCTGAACTCCTGTGTTATTTTTTACAAATAAACATTTGAAGAGGATTGAAACAAATTCCACACACGCACATATAGACAATACCTCCCCCCCCCCCATCTATGAAATTTCAAAGCCTTTCAGCTAATTATTGGTCACGTTCAGTGGAGTTGTATATGCTTGCTGTTCTTTCCATTCCACAGTTTATCATGTAGTGTAACTGTGGACATGCTTCTCAGCCATGATTTAGTTATTTCCTTGGCAGTTCGGAATTCCTCTATAGCTTACATGGCCTTTAGGTTCACTGTTGATTGAATTACACCACCTTCTGAGAAAAGTGATACAGTAGCATTCAGAAATGGCTTCGATAATCTCAGTTAGGAGCAGCAATTTTCTTTAAAACCACGAACTGGTTCACACCACCTGCACCACTGACAAAGCATGGCCCACAACTAGGGTTGCAGCAAGGCAGTGCTTCTATAGAGGAGAGGCACACCTGTGTGAGTTTGTTCCTTTACATGATAGCTGAATGTTGCTACTGCCATTTTTGCAGTGGTGGCAACCTGAAAAAAATGCTACTGCATAGACACACAAAGGACAAATATGATACATGAATTGGGCCCTAGGACAGAACCATTCCTCTAGTACGTTTCACTGTTAAACATTTCCTTTCAATCCAGATCTAGCCACCCTTTTAACAATTCCTGACATCTAGACATTTTTACTGACATCTGCATATTCTTACGAGATACTACTTTTGTCTTTCCAGATTGGACTGACATTTGCCATTGTTTTTGGAGTCATAATATACCGAATCTCCACTGCAGCAGCTTTAGCCATCAGCTCCACTCCCGGTGGCCGGTCTAATGTTAGAGTAACTGTCACAGCAACTGCAGTGATTATTAATCTGGTGGTGATAATAATCTTGGATGAAGTATACGGCTGCATAGCCAGGTGGCTGACCCAGATTGGTAGGTATAAATCTTAAAAGTTATTTTGACTTAAAGCTACAGTTTCTTCAAATGGCCTGTCTTAAAAGAGCACAATTATTTCACTTTGGCCACACAGCCAAGAACAAAGCATGTCTAGCCAATGGTATATATAAAATAATCACTTGGTATTATTACATGAACTTCTTTCAGCAACTAACATTGGTTTGATTATAAAATGGGGAAATGGACTTAGATTAATCAAGAGCCTCTTCACTTGCTATGGAGAACCAAACCATTTTCAGAAGCTGAGTAACGTAATTCATCTTCATTTACAGTCATTGCTTTCTTCATAGGGACAATAAATCAAGACCTGGAAAAATGAGGTGTCCAGTTATTGCTGAGCATGAACTTCTTAGGGTTTCATCAAACACAGAATTTTCCCTGAGTTACATTTCTTGTGATCAGACCAGGCTGAAGTTTCCAATGAATGTAGTCCATACCTAGGCATGACAATGCATGCAGCTCCAGACATGGAGAGGGTTGCTGGAAGCTGGAAATTTTCTAGTTCCACCATCACCATACAGACAGGACCATTGGGATGTACCCTTTCTTTTTTAAAAAACAAAAACAGATCAAGAGTAGTCTTCCAAAATCTTAAATCTTAGCAGGCTCTAAAATTTAGCTATTTGAATGCTTTTTTCAAGCACTCTTACATTAATCTTATTTACACAGAGGTTCCAAAAACAGACAAGAGTTTTGAAGAACGTCTTATCTTCAAGGCCTTCCTTTTGAAATTTGTCAATGCCTACACGCCTATTTTCTATGTGGCTTTCTTCAAGGGCCGGTGAGTTATACAAACAGTGAATTCAATACATTTTTCAAGGACCAGTAAGTTGCATAAGGTGAATTAAATGTTTAACTTCAAGTGTTCAACTACTACTTCACTGACTCTTGAGACCATATACAAGAACCAATGAGTAGCAGGAGAAATCAATTAAATATTTAATAGTTACCTAGGCTGACTCTGAACACTCCCAGGCATGGGAGTGGAAATGTTACTGGGGCCCAGAGATCCAGGGGAGCCTGCCAACAGTATGCACAAAAATGCATATATTAGCATAATATGTGTGTAGAATTGCATATAGTACTGAAAATAACAGAAAAATGCATTGCTTTTAAGCAAATTTTACAGTCAAACCTCGTTTTGTGGACGGGATCTGTTCCAGAGGCCCGTCCGCAAGCCGAAAATGACGCACGCCAAAGCGCCGTTATTTAGCGCTTCTGCGCATGCACGATTTAGCACTTATGTGCAAGCTGTGAACCCGGAAGTAACCTGTTCCGGTACTTCCAGGTTTGCTGCAGACATTCATCAAAGTGGACACAAGCGGAGGCGCACACAGAACAAGGTTTGACTGTATTTGCAAAAATGTGTATATTATCAGAAAATTGCAACAAAATGCTGATTAATTTCCATGACTCTACAAAAAATCACAAATTGATGCAGAAATGTGAAGAACCAAACTCAAGTTTACAAAAATGAAAAACTGAGAGAAACAAAAATTGATAAATTCACCCATTTATATCAGGATCCCTACTCAATGAGGACTAGGAGCCCATGCCCTGCAGATTATGTAACTGGTTTCAACTAATAAGTCCCACTGGTGGAAGCCCATTCAAGAATATCTACTTGTGCAATGGGGCTTTACCCCCCCCGCCCCCGCCCCCCCCACTGTCTTCTGCTCCTGCGTGCTCCCCACACACCCGGAAAGTGGCTCTGGGATGGGGCAAGACAACCCCTCAGAACAGCACATGGAGGATAGAGAAGGATGATTATTATTAAATAAGAATCTATAAACAGACAAACAAAGCTGAAATTCTTGCCCCAAGAGAACGATTGATGTACCATCCCACTGAATTCCTCCCAAAGATTCTATCTGGATGTATGGGAGATGTTGCAGGAGGAGTGTGAGAGCTTGCTCCTCTAAAATAGGCAGAACAAAAGACCAATAATTGTTTCTGAATTTTCCTAGATTCGTTGGACGCCCAGGAGATTATGTCTACATTTTTCATTCTTTTCGCATGGAAGAGGTAACAGCAGTAATGTGCATGCTTATTTCTGATCGAGAGGGGAAAAAACCATGGTGTGGCTACAAATTTCACCATCTGCACACAGAAGGGCAACATCATTCCACAGAAGGCTTTTGATCCAGCAGAGGGACCCCACTGACAGAAGTGGGGGAAAAGCAGTTTTCTCTGATTTTACCTCCACCCCTAATCTATGTATCTCTATTTCTCCTTTAGTGTGCTCCTGGTGGTTGCCTAATGGAATTGTGTATACAACTTAGCATTATTATGTTGGGCAAACAGCTGATTCAGAACAATCTTTTCGAAATTGGCATTCCGTAAGTAGCCAAGGACTGAGACCATCTGCTGTAAAATGCTTGCATATCAACTTGAAAACAGAAATGCTATGTTGTTTTTTGGTTTGTCCAAAAGGCAGAAGGCAAGAAGGCAGCTATGCTACATACTATAAAATAACATGAATTTGCTTTATTATACCATTTTCATACTATTATTTTGCTTTTTAATCGTATGGTTCCTAGAGTGGTATACAACAGAACTTGGACAATAAAAAAATAATTCTGAATCTACAGTGAAAACAAATTAAATTAAATTTGTTTGTTAACAGGTAATAGCAGAAGCTGAAAATAATCCTAAATACTGAAAGAAATGAGGGCTTAGTTCTTACAAAATTGCCTATTAATAATACCAATCTTTGCCACCCTTAGGGACTAGTGTGAGAAAGTGTATTGACCTCATTCCCATTTACTTTTTCAGATGCCTCCCAAACATTTAGACTGAATCCAAGGAGTAGCCCTACTTACAGTAAGGCTTCTGAGGCCTACCCTTCCAGTGTGCCTCTCAGACAAGGCATCTCTGAAAGTCAAATAAACTTCAGGAAGAGCCCTTGTTGCAACTGTAGACTGGGAGATGAAGCGCAGAAGCCTCAGAAGGCACTCTTGGAAAGTCTTGTGCACATCTGAGGGACCCTTCCGTTCCCCTCCACAGTCCCCATATAACTAATTTCATAATCAGCAAATTCACGATTTTTTGTTTGGTTGGTTTTTTTGGTCTTTTGCTCTTACAAAACTACTGAGACTTTTCAAAGAGTTGTTTTTAATGTTTCATCTTAGAAAAATGAAAAAATTCATAAGATACTTGAAATCGAAACGACGGCGTCCTGGAGACCACGAGGAATATTTGAAGAAAAAACAACGCTATGAAGTAGACTATAATCTGGAGCCATTTGCTGGTCTTACTCCAGAATACATGGAAATGAGTGAGTGAGATTTCAAGTGTTTAAACTAGGGTTTCAGTTTTTTAATAGCTTACATTTGCTACCCTATACAAAGAGTAAGTGAGCATAGAATCGCACCCTTAATCAGTGATAGATGAGTAATGGTCATGGTCAGTTTTAGTAGGTGAATGTGTTTTTTAAATAAATAGACTCAGTCTCAAGGGAGTATTGTTTATTATAACTAGGATATGATTTGTTAGCATAAGATGGATATGTAAGAAAAATTTGGAGAATAGGCCGCTCCATGGGGCCTGAGGGGCTCGAGCCCCTAAAATTTTTTGGGGGCTCAGCCCCCAATAATCTCGGGCGCCTTCAAGAGTACCCCGCCTCCCCACTGCTCCTCGCAGCCAGCCAGCGCGCACAGCCTAGTCGGAGAGCCCGGCCGTCCCGCGAGATTAGGGATCCGGGGGCGGGGCTCCTGCCTCGACTGCTTCGCGCACACGCACTGCCAAGGCACTGCGGGGGGAATTTCTTCTCTGGCCCCGCGAGAGACTGGCACTCCCGCCAGCCGATTGCTGGCTTCTTGCCCTATCTTGGCGGAGCACTTTATTGCATATTCAAGCTTTTATTATTCATGAGCTTTCCCGGGCCCCCCCAATATTTTTTATAAGTCCGCGTCCCTGGTTGGAGAGCCTCTTTCTAAGAGTTGAGCCGTCATTCCTTCTACTTGGAATTGCAAATTCTCACATGTTCTTGATATCTCAAAGTGGCACATTACAGGGTCAGCACCTACCTACATTCATATGCATATGATCTGAGAGTATTGTGGTTTCAGTAGTTAGCACTGGCTGTTTGTGGGGAGCTGTTTCCAAAAATACATTCCATCTAGAACAGCATAATGTGCAAACTACAGTGTGTTTTCTTTTTAATTTTCAGTCATCCAGTTTGGGTTTGTAACCCTGTTTGTTGCATCTTTCCCACTGGCTCCCTTGTTTGCGCTCCTGAACAACATCATTGAAATACGTCTGGATGCAAAGAAGTTTGTTACTGAGCTTAGAAGGCCAGTTGCAGTAAGAGCAAAAGATATAGGTAAGCAGTTCACTAACAGCACAGTAACTAGTTAATATTATTCCTTATTTATGTCACTTTGCCATATGTGATGGATGAGGCAGGACTCTTATTTTAGTTTTGTGTTTTAAATTTCAATCCTCCTTTATTCTACTAGGGAAATTCAGGTCTGCTAACTGCATAAGGTGATGAGATGATGACACTGGTAGTGAAGATGATACTTAGTCAACATTTCAATCCCAGAGCAGGGATCAAATAAATAAAATAATAGAAAAATATCTATATGTGGAAAATTATCTATCTATATATACACACACGCACAAACACACAAATGGACAAAGTGTAAACAAATGGACAACTCCATCACTAAAGTAAATAGCAATAAGAACAACAATTAGGAGATTGAAGCAGGATCTCACATATGGAGCAGAGTGTATGAGACAATACATATGGAAGAAGATAGTATTTAGAGTACTTGTGCCCCAAGCTGTTTAGGCCATGGAGATAAAAACCAGCACCTTGAACTTGTACAGTGATGTTATTTATAGTTATCCATTCTTATGGGTAGCCATTTTAAAGTCTTTTAACCTTCTGCTTGTCTTTTCCCTCCAGGAATATGGTATAATATCCTCAGAGGTGTAGGAAAACTTGCTGTGATCATAAATGTAAGTAATTCTTTGCAAATAGTGATTGATCACGCCGATTGTTAATTTCCTTTCAGTTACTTGGAAATGTTAACATTATAGACATCTAGTGTGATGTGGAATCTGGAGTAAATCCTGGGTTCATATTCCCACTCAGCGATTAAGCTCGCTGGGCAGCCATGGGCAAATCACTGTCAAAGTTTTGTTGTGAGTCTAATATCTTGCTCTGATATATTTAATTACCTCGCCCTACCCTATTTCAGCTTTCATGGAACAAAAATAAAGAAACTTTTATTCTCAATTTCACAAGCTTTCTTTTGAAACGCAAATAATATAAGTCACTTTTATAACTTTCGAAACTTTTATTAACAAAAGACTATTTGTCAGTAAAGTATGGTAACGATTTTCCTGACACTGCTGTTGTTTAGTCTTCCCAGTCAGGCAGATAGTTTTTCATGTGAAGCAAGTTCTATAGAGCAGGTGGGAAGCCGATAGAGAAAGTGTGAGCTGCTCTTTAGCACATGTCAGCCCAATTTTTATACTTCTTGACTGTTGGCTGCTATCTGGAGGCTTCCAAGTCAGTGGAATTTAGAGCACATGTGTCTTCTCTGTTTAATAATAATAATAATAATAATAATAATAATAATAATAATAGATCTCATTTTCCTCTCTGAGGACACTTTTCCTGCTTTTTCATAATTCTTATAGCAACTTCTTCAACAATGACAAATGTCATTTTTTTGTTCCTCTGACTCGCCCTACCCTATTTCAGCTTTCATGGAAGAAAGCAGACATTTATTGTTCTGCATATTGTCTCATACTCCCCTTTCCCAGGCACAGGGCAGAGTTTCAGTTTCCTTTGCAAAAGACAGTGAGCTCGTCTTGTTGCAGTATTCTATTTGCACTTTTTACATATGTACAGTTGTACATTGCAAATGTGAGTAGGCCTTACAGAAGCATATAAGCAACCACATTGGTAGGCGCTGTGACCCAAAAGACTGCCTGCTCCCTGAGACTGCCTCCCCTCACAAACCTCTTAGACCCTGTACCAAATCTGACCAAAACTTCTTTCCATTCCTATCCTACCAGGTGAGTGCAGCTCTCATTCCAGATACCTGAAGCAACCAGTTGCCCAACAGTGACTCTTTTCATCTCATGTCTAACACCTGCTTCTTAAAGGCAATAGCTCAGGGGTCAGCAAACTAAGGTCCGCGGGCCGGATCAGGCATAATTGCCTTCAGGATCTGGCCTGCGGACTGTCCGTGGATCGGCATAAGGATTCTGTTCGTTCGGCCTGCATCAATTTTTTTCCTGCACCATTCCATTTCCCCACACACACCCTCACACACTGTGGCAGCACCTCCTCCCTCCCTCCTCCTGGCTTCTCCCCACCCTGCCTAGAGGAGGAAGGGGCCTGGGCTGAGCTGGCTGAATGCCATTTTAAGCAGCCCCTCTCCAGAGCCAGTCCTTTCGCACCGCTCATCTTCCCTCCACCGCTGCCGCCACCCTGGTGCTCCTGTGGGCCAGAGAGCGGAGCAGACAAGCTTGCTCTGCCTACCCATGAGAAGAAGTGGCGGCGGTGGCGGTGGCAGCCCCAGGAAAGGTAAGGGCTGGGGGTGGGGAGGATGACTACTTGCCCCCCCTTGCCTCTTCTTCCAGCTCCCCCCCCCCCCGGTGCTGCTTCTCCAGCCTGCCACAAGGTCTGAGGGACAGTGGACCTGCCTGCGGCTAAAAAAATTGCTGATTCCTGCAATAGCTGTTAAAAGGGGCAGGGGGGAGAGTTGCTGAAAACATAGCTGACCTAGGTTGTATGTTCTGTATTATGTGTCTTACTTCTTTTAAAACATCTCAACAAAACTAGTTACAACCATTAGGCTTTTCATGTTTAGAAAAAGCCATGTGGCCCAGTGGGCCAGTCCGTTTTATCTTGATGCATCTAATAGCCCTGTTAAAATGGATGTTTTTGTGTAATCGTTTATTTATAGAGTTGGTTTGTCTTCAGTTCTTTGCCACGCTTTAAAGGGCATCCCAAGAGTCTTTCGAAGCTCGCATCAATTCAGCTGGCATTTGTTGTAGTTGGAGTAGAGGAAAACACTGCAATGTAAAATAACTTAAGAGATCACCAAACAATGATTTAATAACGTACTAGCGGGATATCCACCAAATAGTTAGGAATATATTTGGGAAGGCAGTCATAAATATGAGCTGAAGCAAAAACAAGTGCCATGCTCAGCTTCTATTTCCAGCTGGCTTTGCCCACCCTTTCCTCTCTGGGTGCCTGCTTCCTCTCTTTCTGGTCCTTCAAGGAGTCACGGCCATATTTGCATCTTTATGTGAGGCCCTTACCTCCTTCCCTTCCCCCTTCAGATGTGGCCCATCCCTGTAGCCATGTGTGTAAGATGCTCATCCAGTGATGGAAAAATATGTGAAACTGTGGAATAGAAATAGGCGAGAAAGTCTCCCTGCTTCTGCCACTCTTGCGCTGTCTCCCAGTCGTGCTCAGTCAGAAGCTGTGTCGGTTGATGCTCACCTCTGTGTGTCCACGTTCATTCTTGACTTTTTGCTTCCAAGCTTGTTAAGCACGACATTCTTTGTCCTTTTCCTTAATGTGATATGTGTCAGTTATTAAGCTTCCAAATGGGTCTGAGTGTGGAATCGGTACATTGGATTCGGAAGCCACTGATGGAGAAAGCTAGGAGAAAACAGCAATATTCCCTTACGACAAAAATGGGGAACCTGTGGTCCTCTAGGTATTGCTTGGCTGCAACTCTTATTGTCCCCGTCCATTGGCTACGCTGGCTGTGGCTTTAGTCCTCCAGATGTCCAAGAACATCTGGAGGACCACAAGTTCCCCACTCCTGCTTTATAAGAATCCTTTGGAAAAGGATTATTTGGGCCCCGAGCAAATGACTATATGTTCCCCAAATGCTCCCCACCCCCGCTCAATTTTCTGATGGTCCCTCTTGTGCTCACACCAGCAAATCTAATTATATAAGATTTATTAATATTATAAAGGACCAAAAATGTTGGTACATTTTTTAACGTTTGTGTCCTGGATGGAATGTTTTCTGGTCTTTTTAAACAACTACTGTTTGTCATCCCCTTTATGGTATGGACATTCATTATTGTTTGAGAAGATTATAATAAATTTAGGTGCCCTTGATTTGTAGCCTCTGCCTAGGCTGACCCAAACTGCTATTACTTTCAGACCACATCAATGCAAAGTGGTTCAAATGGCTCGCTGCACACAACAGCGAAAGCAAGAGGGGATTCTTAAACATACACTCCCCTTAATGCCTTAGTAAATAATAATAATAATAATAATAATAATAATAATAATAATAATAAGTGCATATAGAACCAGAGAGAGCAGAGCACTGCAAATGTTGCACTTATACTGAAAGCAGAACCATATTGAAATTAGAAAACAACGAAGGACCTGTTTTTTATTGTCCACATGATGTTATGTCCTCAGCCAACCTCAATTGCTCATTCTCAATTTGCTGCAGTTCTAGAGTTCGAATATCTAAACTTCTATGGAGTGAAGAAAATCATTAATCTGCGGATTATGGCCTGAAACCAGCCTGATTTATAGCAATCCATCTGCTCATAAGCCCAACTGGGGGAGGAGACAGTTGAGTTTGGTTATGAAATCAGTCAAGCATTGCCTGAATATTGCGCTCATTGTTTACTCTTATGGCTTAGGCATTTGTGATCTCATTCACATCTGACTTCATTCCACGCCTCGTGTACCTGTATATGTACAGTGAAAGTGGCACCATGCATGGCTTCGTGAACCATACGCTATCCTATTTTAATGTCAGCGATTTTCAAGATGGAACAGCTCCAAATGACGCTATGGAGCTTGGCTACCCAGTCCAAATATGCAGGTACATACTGTTATTTCCTTAAAAGAGATTTTCCCCTGGGATGTTGACCCATTCATGCATCTCAGAAGGACTCATATTTAAGTTTCCATGTATTTAGGTTGTATGTATTTGAACATGGATTTGTGGCTACCACCTTCCATCTGCATACGAATCTTCCTTCTGTGTATATCCACGATCTCGTCTCAGTTGTCATGGTCTGAGCCATACCATTTCCTTTCCTTGGCACCTTTCTCGAAGCTTGAAAACTGTCGACTTCAGAGCTTCTCCAGCTCTCCCCAAAGCTGTGGCCCTGAGGCCTCGATGTGATCTCATTTCCTCCCATTGCTCTGCCACCCAAGGAAGAATAACAAAGCCGTCTAAAACTAGCCCCCTTCGCTGTGAAGCATTTCTAGTTAGTAGTGTCCACACTAACAACCCCAGTCTGTTAGAGGACACATACCAGAACTAGTCATTATCCACAGGACTCCTCCATTTGTTTAACACCCACCAAACTCCCACAGCCTTTGCATGAAAAGCTATGGCTGCTGCTTACTCCCCTTTGTTTTATAGCTCAACCTTTCAAATACACAGTACAGCTCAGCTACTCGAGGCTCTACTTACTACTGCAGCATCTAGTCCTGTAATCAAAGAACACCCAGAAAGCTTGTTAGCTTGCATGGTCAATGCTTTAAGACTACTGAACAGGCCCCGTCAACCTCAGAACATAGATCCATAATCCTATTACCGTTGGATATGCTTTTGGCCTCTGGTCCAAAGACTGGAATCTGAAGATCTAAACCAGAGACTAGGCTGTTGTGTCTCGTTAGTTATCCCATTAACATGCTTTGTTGAAAATATAATGGTCAACTCCACCTGTGCTAGAACAAACTCATGACCACATAAGCTTCGCCCATTTCCTGTGCCAATCTGAACTTCTAAGCCACAGCGCTCCTTTTCATTAGGTCCCAAACCCAAATGTAATCTCCTGCCGTAAACATCCCACAAAATCTCTCCAGGATTACGTGCAAGCCACTCAGGGCTACCAAAGTTGCACCCCTTCCTTCCCTTCACCAAAATATATCATCCACCCCACACACCCTGCTATCTCTGGTGTCACTCATCTCCTAGGACAGGGGTGGGGAGCCTATGGTCCTTGAGATGCTGCTGGACTCCCAACATCCCAGACCATTGGCTGTGCTAGCTAAGGATGGTGGGAGTTGGAGTCCAGAAAATCTAGAGTGCAAAAATCTGCACTCCTGGGCCTCAAGGCTTCATTGTACCTCCGTGCTCACGACATAGGAGGGCTGAGAACACCTTCCAATATACTGCACAACTCCCGGTCAATATACTGTATTAAAATTCCTAGGAAGCTTCTCCCTGGCCTCCAACCCAATCATTTTAAAAAGTCGTGTTAACCCTTCTGCCCCGCAGCAAATCTTCCTGGATAAGATTTCAATTTGGAGCCAGCTCTTCCTATTTTAAAATGGGAGGTGGTTTATTTGTTTTATTACATATTTTGCTTCAGTCCATCCAATGAGGCAGCTCTCTATGCCTTCCCCAACTGGTGGCTGAAGAAGGCAGGAATGAGTCCCAAAGGGTCTCTGCCTACTTTCTTATTGCAAGTCTCATAGGACTTCAGGTGATAAGGGCTCCATCTCATTTCTTCACCTCCCCGCCAACCTGCATCCTTTCCCCCTACCCTAATTTGCACTTACAGTAGATGGAATATGCAGGGGAGGGGCTAATGGCAAAGTTAGGTCTATTACTAACATGATAACATCACTTAATAGGCATTAGCCTACTTTTAGTTTTAGAAATCGCTCAAAATTCTCTATTTGAAGGATCCGATTGTGATTGGTTTTCTCACAAATCAACCCGGACTATTACATAGATAACTGGTGATAATAACATGTATTTTGAGGCTTGCATGGAATAAGCCCTTTCTGTTCAAGAAATGCCTATGCTCACTCTCTCACACACATACGTACGCAAAACATACATGCACACACTTTCTCTCAGAATCTCTAAGAAGGCTACAACTGAAATATTAAGCAACACCAACAGGTGGATATGATAAGGGTACAACAAAGCAACAAAACTTTGGCAAAGTTTCATGCTTTTTGCAAGAGCCATACTGTGTATATTCAGTCGAGATCCCCATCTTGAATATACTGACTCTCAGTTCTGCTTTTCAGATACAAAGATTACCGAGATCCTCCGTGGTCTGAAACTAAATATGATATTGCAAAGGATTTCTGGGCTGTGCTAGCAGCAAGACTAGCGTTTGTAATAGTGTTTCAGGTAAAGTATATCCCAAAATTATTTAAGGTGGCTCTCTATTAACAGACAGAGCTTGGAAAAGAGAATACTTCATTAATATAATATAACCTAATACACGTATCTTAGACACAAGGGTCTGACGTGCCATTTTCACATCCCAGTTCTAATTAAATACTAACATTTATTAAACCCAAGCATTTAGCACCCACATATCGATAACAATATTATCTGGAGCCATTTTACTCTGGCTCCAGGTCTGGTTTTGTCACCAAAATAGCCTTAGTCATATGTTTATCAGGAGAGAATTGGGGAGAATGAAACCCTGTTAGTACTCCAAGAGTACTCATTGATGCGAGGAGTCACTGTGTAGCTAGATGACATCTGGGGCAGCTTATGCCCAATGTTGACTGTTGTGCCAGCAACAACTGCTCTTGAACCAGGATAGCCTGGTGCCAGTAACCCATGCTCTGGTGACCTGTTTGTACTAGGTCAAGTGCTCCACATGGGACTTCCATTGAAGATGGTAAAGAAGTCTGTGACTGCCAGATTGGGCCATGTGTCACCTGTCCTAGCATTGCCTTGGCTTCTTGTAAAGCCGCCAGTTCCAATTCAACATGTTGGTAATCACAAAGCCCTTAATAGCTCAGAGTCTTAAGTACGTAAAAGACCACTTCCTCCAATAGCAACCAGACAAGGCCTTAAGATCAATGGTTGAGGCCTTGCTTGTAGTGCCACCAATGGAGATAGATTGGGGGAGGGCGGTAGCCCACAGCATGACCTTGCTCTTTGGTAGCACCCCTACTATCAAATCCCCCCCCCCATGAAAGATGATTGTCACATACATTGCCATCATTTTAAAACATTTTTGTTGGCCAGGCATTTTGTACTTGAAGGGGTGGTACATTTAGCATCTAGAATGATGTATTGTTTGAAATGTGCTTTGATAGTTTTGACTTTAGTAGTGTTTGAATTATGTTGTTTTATTTGTGGGTATTGGGTGGCTGCCCTGGGCTCCTTTTGGTGGGATGGGGGAGGATGGGATAAAAATAGAGTAAATAAATAAATTATCTGAACTCTCTATGAGTTGGGGGCCTAAGTATTACCACTTGCCACTAGGAAATTCATTTCTGAGAAAGAAAAGGTACATGTGTTGTAACATACAAAGAGTGTTACATGTGTCTTCTGCTACTGATGTATTAGATCAGGCAGATGTTGGCCATGTGACCAGAGAAGCCAGGGAGGAAAACCGTGTGTGTCCTTAATGTGTCACAAAACAGACTTTTTTACTTTTTCTTAATCTTCATGTATAAAAAGTGACATTTAGAAAAAGAGTGTTGCATGCAGGCAGACCATTGAGTAATTTTATTCATGACAGGCTGGTTTTGTTTGGGAGTGGGCCTTAAATATCTGTGGCCATGTATGCCAGAGAGTTGTAAACTGCACACTAATTTTACATAACTCTGGTTTATAAATAAATAAAAAATATATGTCTAGCATATCAGTCCTAATTGTAGAAGTAATTCCCATTGATTTCAATCAAGGTTGCTTCCAAGCAGGCTTGTTTAGGAACATAATTTAGGACACAATCTACTCAAAGTTAACCAACGTTTATGTTCCGCAGACTTCCATGGGGCAAATTTTTGCAAATACTGAGCTCTCCATTGTAATAATTGGGACTTCAAAGTGCTTACTTTTGTCTGCTAACATTGGCTCTGAAATTCTTATTTTTCAGAACTTGGTCATGTTTATGAGTGACTTTGTGGACTGGATTATCCCAGACATTCCCAAGGACATCAGTCAGCAAATTCATAAGGAGAAAGTTCTGATGGTGGAAGTCTTCATGAAAGAAGAACAGGGAAAGCTGCAGCTGCTAGAAAACTGGGGGGGCAAGGAGAAAAGGAAAGGTGAAAACTGTAACAACCATAGCCCCAGATCGTCAATGAGCCATAGAGGGAGTGCGTCTTCCATTCATTCATGCCATGTTGAAGTGTAGAAGAGGAAGTGGTTTTATTCCGGGGCATTCCACTCATAAGCAAGCCATTATTTAAAGGATAGGACTTGATTCTTTAACAGCCTGGTGCATGTTTAAGCATATGCAACCATTTTGCTTATATCTATGTAAGAAATTACGTTCTTACAAAAATGGAGGACCATATTCTGTTTCTGACAAGGATCTTTTGGGGGTTTTATTTGCACAAAAAGCAATGCAGGGATATTTTTTTTTTACATATATCTATATTTCATGGTTAGCTTATAACTATCACTGTTTTTATATTTTAAGAAAATAGAACAGGTAGGCTATTCTCTTGGGAATTTTACTTTAGCTTATTTATTGAAAAATGGCTGAGGGTTTTGAATAACTAGAGGCTCCCCATTCCTGATAAGCTGTATGGGAGCTTTACAGTTTGCAAAGCAAATAAAGAGCATCCTGTGGAGTTCCTCCTTGCAAGACAGAGGAAGAAAAACTGTGCTTCAATCTGCCGGCCTTTTTGCAAGCAGAAATCCTGTTGTGTTTCCTGGACTCTATGCTGAACATGCAATATTTTCTCTTAAGCAAAAGCAGTGGCAAGAAGATTTTCTTTCTCATCTGGGGCTCACGCCTTGGGTAGAATCCAATTCATCACTTCACTCACGCCAGTGAACAAAATGGTGGGGCCATCAGCCCAGCACTACTGAGAGCAGTTTGTTTGAATATCCTTCATTCCTTCCGATGTGAAAGATGAAGGATTTGTGAAAAGGGCATTTATGTTTAGTAATCCAGAGTGTCTAAGTGCACATTCCAGAGGGGGTCCAGAGGACAAGAAAGAATATTAGCAACAGCACAATTTCCCCAAGCACTGAGGGGCCTTTTTTCAAAAGTGCCCTGAATTAAAGAGCACACACACAGCTGCTAGCAAATTGCACTGCCCTCCACAAACCTTGGAACCTAGTTGCTGAAGGAATATGTTAAACAAACTTATTCCCCAAGCAATTACGTTCACAGGTCATCCTGCTCAGTGTAGCTGGACATCCCATCTTTGATTACATCTCATACTTCCAGATACCACAGCCCCCTATCATTTCACTGACCAGAGCATCGTAACTCAAAGCATCCTTCAGTTCAGCAGTTACGATGACTCAGCTGCCCAGTTCCCTGACAAAGGTATCCAAATATTGTTCTCTGCCACTTTCCAGCTTCTCTACTGCTTTCAGTTCTCTTGCTCTTATCAAAGAGTTGGAGCATCTTCTCTATGAACATTTGAGGCTTTGTTGTTGTTTTTTACTAAATTGGGATATCTTATACAATTGTGACTGGCATGAGGGGGGAGAGAGAGATTTCTCCCTCATAATATTCAGGGTCACTCCATGAAATTAACAAGCAGCATGCTCAGAAGAGATATTAAGAAAGTACTCTTTCACACAATTGTTTCTTTGTGTGACAGCTTGTAATTCCTGTCGGCTCCAAAGAGACAGGGGGAGGGAGTGTGGAAGGAGTAGGAATGAATGGCAGAAAGGGAGAATCAGCAAGTGAAATGCATGAGGAAGAGTGCATAGCGGGCTGAGTTGAGGGAAGAAGAGCCCATCAGAGCATGCACTGGGCCAAGGGTGTCCCTCTGCAAATATAGTATAGATTCTGGTATGGAGTTATTCCTGAGAATCCTTGAGGATTTATTTTTTTAAATCAAGTTTAAGATCAACAGTGCAATCCTATACATGTTACCTGGGAAGTAAATTTGCCCAGGTAAGTACATATAGGACTGCAACTTAATATTACCTTTGGCATTTTGGTGAAGTGGGGATAATAGAACTCAAGTTCTAAGCCGTATTTTGGACCAGATTATTTCCACCTACAATGATTGTGTGGATGAAAATGGTCCTTTTAATTTTTCTAGCTTTTAGGACTCTATGTCCACTTTCGACATACAGAGCAACAGCCCCAAATACACTCTTCTCTGAGGTTACTATAAAGTTTACATTATGATGATGTTCCACCTATTCTGCCCATTCCAGAATTTCTGATGTGCCTACTATTTATTTTTTTAACATCAGGCTCTCCAGTTCCCTCATCTTGTGTCGGAGGCTTCTAGGCATCAGCATATAAATACTTCCATGTTGCATCTCCTGCCAAATCCCCTTTTTGTGTTCAGTTTTCCCTATGACCCTATCGAGTGCCATGCAGAAAGAAATAAGCCCGGGTTGCCTTTGCAAGTCTACCATGCACAAATTGTTCTGGACACTTCAAAGTCGAACAAATCCTTCTATGAACACCTAGCTAGCCCTCGATTGCAATTGTCACTTTACAGTTTGTACTGGGATACGGACAGCCAAGTACAAGATATGCACACCTCTCATCACATCTGAAGGGCATGTATGTGTAAAATTTAGTGCATGCCTCTTTAAAATAACAGCAACTGGGAGCAGATTACATGGACATCCTTCAGACTTGATAGTAACGGTTAGCATTTATACAGCACTTTCCAGAGTACAAAAAATCTTCAGGTACATTATGTTGTGGAAAATGTGATGAGTAGCAAGTATACTTTTTGTATGCCATCTGCAAAATGTAAAGGGATTTTTAAAAACAAAAAACCTGTTGCTGATCCCCAACAAGTAACACTTGCTACTTCCTACAGGCTGAGGGCCCAACAGCCTCATTTGGGTCTTTTTGGCAACCTATCTCCATCTCCTGGGATGGAGAAGGAAAGAAATGGGAGAATCTGTTTAGTGGCTGCTAAGCAACCATCACATACCCTCCCTACAATTTGCAAACGTTTGGCAACAAATGGTGCTGGTGACAGGGTTTGGGCAGCCAAGGCACATGACAACATTCCTTCCAATGTCAGTCTCCAGGGAAAGTAACCCAAGAGGAAGCTCCGGATAACAAGTCCGAGAGCTAGAACATACCTGCCAGGTCCATCCACTCCACAGTTATATCTAGTGTCAGGCCTAGTGCTTAGGATACGATTGCTCCAAAAATATGGCATCCTTGATAGATAGCCCCAGTGATGCAGGTGGACACAAAGATGAAAGTAGAATCAAAAGGGCAAGCACCCTAAGCAGACCCCCCCCTCTTAATTTTGCCCCATATACATGAAAGTCTTTAAATTTATTTATTATGTGTGTTCTTGGCAGGGCACCAGCTCCCTCTTAATCTGCACCTTCTACGTGTATCTTGAGCAAAACCAACAAAGCAAAATATAGAACATTTGCTTCATGTTACATACAATATGAAATGTTCATATAACAGTCTTCCTAGTTATGAACTGCAGTGCATCATATCATATATACAAAAAAAAATCCTATGCTGTGTAAGTTGAGGATGAAATTTAGTTTTAATAGAGAACAAAAATCAATTTCATCCACAACTGCCAAAGCCTGGCATTATATTGCAAATTAACTTACTGTATGGTTTGTTGCAAAACCAAATGTCCAAGAGTGTTATATTTCAATTAAAAGAGCATTGTTGCAGAATTATAGAAAATAAAAGCAAAATCATCACATAGTTTTGTAGTACTTATTAGTTTTTATACAAAGTATGCAGCAAACTCATTCTTATGTATAATTTGTCCGAAACACTCTTTACGTGGAAGTTAACAAAATGTTGTCCAACATGTTTAAAATACCAATCTAACCAAAGATTGTTTTTAATAAAGGGCTTGTTTTTGTTTATAATTGCTTCTTATATATTGAATTGCAGGAATGTCACCTTTTTATATCTAAAAAATCTTGCTTAAAAGTCTGTTACCATTGTAGTCAGCCTTGTCTACCTTTATTGATACAGGATTCACAGAAGACAATAGAAATTTTCTCTCACTTTTACCCTGATCCAACAATGGCCTTTGGCAGCGGTAAGAGCTTTTTACAACATGGGAAAGCATCTGTGCATGTTTATTGGCTATGGATCCTGCTGCGAACCTATAGGTATGGGCTTTGATGTAGATATGCAGGGAGGATGCACATGAGATGCAGAGGTGTTACCCGTTCGTGGACATTGCATGTATAACGTGAAAGCAAGTTGACATTCCCATCTGTCCCTTGAAACTGATGGGAGTGTTTCGCCAGATGCCATTTGGGCACTACATTTTCATTGTATATTACTAGTTGTCCACAGCATCTAGCATCGAGGTGAAAATGTTATCTATTGGGCTAGAAAGTCTTGTGTGTGATTGCGAGAACTCATTTTAAAATGTAGTTAAGACACGACCTAGACTACACACCCCAGGTTATGCTAGGACTGGCCAGATGCACAGAGTGATATCCATTATTAGCCACATCCAGAGCAGATGCATTGAAATCTGTAGATTTTATTCCATTGGGTCTATCTAGCATTGGATACCATCCCAAATCCAGAGATCCCTACTTACACATAGTAGCATTCCACCAAACCAGTAGCCAGCTCTTTCAGCTTTTAAATGTTCATCATCTACTCCAGGAGTGGGTAACCTTTGGCCCTCCAAACTCCCATCAGCCCCAGCAAGCATGGCCCATGGCCAGGGATATTGAGAATGATAGTTCAGCAAAACCTGGGGGGGGGAGCAAGGTTTCCCCATTCATGATCTACTGGACAGAGAGGGAATGTCTGAAAATCAGTTCCATCAAACCCCTTCCCAACCAATGGTCAGGATTTTTAGTATGCAAACCGATGCACAAAATATCAGTGATGAGCCAGCCAGGATAGTACATTAGGTGTTTTTTTGGCAAATGCACAATCTTCCCCCCTGGATCAAACTCTTCTGGGGGTTTTTCCAGCAGAAGCTGGATTTGCACAGGTATGATTGGCTAACACCCCTGTGTTGATCATGAAGTCAACTCCAATGATTTCTTGGAACAATTTTTAGCACCTTAAAAAGATGTGGCCCTTTATTAGATAAATAATTACGCTGCTAAGCAGAGGCATGAGCAGATAAATATGAATGAAAATGTGTGTGGCGTTAGACCTGGAGGCTGCATGTGTTCTTTGAAGAGCAAAATCAAAGCAGCAGAACTCGCCTCGGAGGGGAGCAACCTGTACCTGATTCCGTTTGCAGGTGCATCTGTATGCAACCTTCGAGCTGTTAGCATTGACCACCTGTTCAAAGTTCACACAGAGTGTAGGTGCCAGATGGATATTTCCTTCTGCGTTGATGGGACAATATTCAAAAGAGCAATCTACATGAAGGAGGCTGCAGCCCTTTGCACACTTACATGGGAGTTAGTCACACTGAACTCATGGCATGGACATGATTCCAGAAGCCTATTTGCATGTGCAGGTTATGCTTGTTGGATTGGGATGAATATGAGGGAAACAAGGCAGCAGGAACAGAATGCAGGAGGTGCCAGCCTCTTCTTCTCATGAGCAAAAAAATCAATCCCTTTGTGACTTCCATCTTACTGTTTTTCTCTCTAGGTAGCCTACATTCATGTAAAATGTATCCTGAGCTATTAGTTTAACTAGAAACCAGGATGAATGTACTGTACACACCCATAGAAAATGTATATTCCATTTCACGCTCTATCAGCTTGTAATTTTATAAGTACTGTAGATGGATTGCCCAGTTTAGAATTATATGCTGAATACAAGCGACGGGAAATAAAGAAATTGTAAAGAGTTATCTTAAAATGTTGTCCTAATACATTCCTGTAAATATTAAGACTATATACTTATAAACATTCATTATTTTGAGATCATTAAATAATAATAAATGCTTTTACTTGTTTTATAGTTCTTTACTATTTTTCAATGGGGTTTGTATATAATATTGTATTACTGCCTAGAAAATTATATAATGCTTCCTTTTTTAAAAAGAAAAGAAAAGTAAATGCATATAAAGCTGCTTTAGTTTTTTGTTGAATATTTCTTTGTATAGTTAATATTCCTTCATTGGCTCCTTCAGGCAAATGCCATTTCACAGTACTCTATAGTCATCTAACAGGGAAAAACCAAAAACCAAGGGTTGTTGGACTTGTAATGTCAATATAAAGTGACTGTTAAATTTGGGTTGGCTTTGACACTATTGCTATATTCCTCTAAAGTCTGAAATTTTAGGAGATCCCGACCACGTAGTGTGATCTTTCTGTTGCTCTCTGAACAAAAGTTGTACCTGTTCAAAAATCTGAAGATTATTCTCTAGCTATGTCCATAAAGGTAAAGGTACCCCTGCCCGTACGGGCCAGTCTTGACAGACTCTAGGGTTGTGCGCCCATCTCACTTAAGAGGCCGGGGCCAGCGCTGTCCAGAGACACTTCCGGGTCACGTGGCCAGCGTGACAAAGCTGCATCTGGCGAGCCAGTGCAGCACACGGAAACGCCGTTTACCTTCCCGCCGGTAAGCGGTCTCTATTTATCTACTTGCACCCGGGGGTGCTTTCGAACTGCTAGGTTGGCAGGCACTGGGACCGAGCAACGGGAGCGCACCCCGCCGCGGGGATTCGAACCGCCGACCTTTCGATCAGCAAGCCCTAGGCGCTGAGGCTTTTACCCACAGCGCCACCCACGTCCCATACCGACATATAATTGATAGAATTCAATTAACTAATGAATCCCACCAATGAAAGCCCTCACAAGGACTTCTGCTTGAGCAGCAGGACTTTCCCCCTCCCCTGTGTGCCACTTGTGCCCCTACAGTTTGCTCTGGGGGGTCAGGAGAACGCCCAGAACCATACATGGAGGGAGAAAAGAGGAATAATTCTGTTTGTCAAGCTGAAATGCTTGCTCTGATGAAACTGTCAACATGGCACATCGAATTCTTCCCTTTATTGTGTTTTTCATTTTTGCCCCATGTGGTGGTGGTGCTAAGTTTCTAGGATACATGTGCTTTCTCCTCCCAGAATCACAGACTTACTGCTCCTCCAATAATGCTGAAATTTACCCATGAATCCTGACGTCTATAGCAACAACCTTCCTTGAAAGCTGCTGCTCTTCTCATGAGGGCATCACAATCATATACAAAGGATTTTTTTCTCTCCTCTAAAACATTGCATAGCTTGATCCCACTGGCAATTGTACAGACCAGTAAAGACTGCTCTTACCACGGAGGCTGAGACTAATTTCTTGTCACTGAGCAAGGGACTGATAAGCACTTAAAGACTTTACGACTCTGAATTTGCAACAGGGGGAATCCTGGAAATTACAGGCTGGTTAGCTTAATGTCTGTCCTGGGAAAACTGGTGGAAAGTATTGTTAAAGATAAAATAACCAAGCTTTTTAGAGGAAGCAGCTGAAGCAGAGCCCAGTGTGCGGCAGCTGTAAAAAAATACAAATTGCATGATAGAGATCAATGAGGAAAAGAAATGAAAATAAAACTGCTAATATAATGCTGTTATACAAGTCTATGGATTTGGAATAGTGCATACAGTTTTGGTTACCTCAACTCAAATAGAATGTTGTAGAGTTGGAAAAGGTTCAGAAAAGGGCAGCCCAAATTATCAAGAGGATGGAGTAACTCTTGTGATGAAAAATTGCATCGACTGGGACATTTTAGTTTTGAAAAAAGATGAGTAAGCTCCTTCATCAAGTTGTCCATTATGACCCCAAGGGGTAGCACAGGTAAGGACATTGGAAATGGGAGCAGTCTGTTATTATTATTATTATTATTATTATTATTATTATTATTATTATTATTATTATACCCAACCCATCTGCCTATGTTGCCCCAGCCACTGGGCAGCTTCCAAAAAATTACGGGAACATCAACAAACATTAAAAGCTAAATGAACTCAGTGTAGGTTAGCTTCCTGTGTTCTCAGTCAGTCAGTACTTTATTATGACCCATTCAGGTTAAAATACAGAGTGCAAATACAGTACACAAAAGTGCACTTCCTCCAGCTTAACTAAAACAATCAACCTATATGTTATTAGAATTCAAAGTGTTGGTGCTGACCTTTAAAGCCCTAAACGGCCTCGGACCTGTTTATCTGAAGGAGCGTGTCCACCCCCATCGTTCAGCCCAGACACAGGTCCATCTCCAAGAGTCTTCTGCTGGTTCCCTCACTGTGAGAAGTGAGGTTACAGGGAACCAGGCAGAGGGCCTTCTACGTGGTGGCGCCCGATCTGTGGAACATCCTCCCACCAGATGTCAAGGAAATAAACAACTATCTGACTTTTAGAAGACATCTGAAGGCAGCCCTGTTTAGGGAAGTTTTTAATGTTTGAAGTTTTATTCTGTTTTTAATGTTCTGTTGAAAGCCGCCCAGAGCAGCTGGGGTAGAAATAATAATATTATAGAAAAGCATCCACGAATCAGTATGGTTACATTTAAGTTGGTAACGCTGTGGGGTGCTAAGTGTTCAAAGCTTCTGTTTGCGAAATGTGCATTATCAAGATGCTAACTGACCTTAGTTCCAATCTCAAGCTATAAGCAAGAGGAACAACTCATTGTGGGCACCTTTTCAAAGCATCAGATACAGCTCAGATAAGCTGGTGGATGTGTTGACTGTGGCTATCATAGTGAAAAGTTCTTCAGATATGAGGCTTCAGCTAATATTCCCTTTGGCAAGTGGAGGCAAGTTTCGTCGCCGTGCCTTCCAAGGGCTAGTTTGAAGAAGGATTTGTTTTATGAAAGATTAGCCCACATAATCTACGGAAATAAATTCGCCTTTGAAGCATACTGCTAAAGGAGGAGCACAACTTTAACCTGCATGCAGGCAAGAGGCTGTTATGACAGTGTCCCGAACAGTGAACCCTCTGCTCAGTACTGAAAGGGTGTTGTCTGTCTGCAAGGATACCAAATTCCATGCAACAGCTATAATGCAAAAACCACACAATCTGAGTGGAAATTAAGAACTATGCTGGTATGAATTACGCTGGTTTCTTTGGTAAGTCACTCGTGCCAAGCAGGACTTGAAAGTGGATGAAAATACTAGGCTGGAACATTTGATTACTTACACACACACACACACACACACACACACACGTTTGCCAACCTAAGCCAGTATTGTGGGAAAGGCGCTGACTTCTGTTTGTATGTTTGAACCAGAAATTACTCACACCCTGTTCTGTTAGCATTGCTTGACCAGCCCTATTTGATTTCCATAGCACTGTGTTTCTAAGATACAGCACACAAATTATTGGCAGTCTTACTTTGTTTGAGGGTGAATAAATCCCAAGTCAACACAACTACGCCTCAGCGTTTTTAACACTTATCTGCAGCACAACATAGCATAATATACAGGGGTTTGTGTGTGTGTGTGATCAATCCAATGGGCTTCCATCACAGTTGATCAACTCAATGGGCTTCCTCACCATCTTACACTCCAGAAAAGAAAGGGAAAACACACAGCATGAAACCATCTAAAATAGCTTTAAACAACAAGATTGTTAACTGTTGCATGATGCTTATCCCAATTCCAGTGAAAAAAGAATGGCGAAACTCCCACATATTCTAGGAACCAGGAATAAACAAACTATGATTAAATTCCTCCTAGTTTGAGGAAGTGGGAGCACTAGAGTATTTTTAGATGTTTTCCCTCAGAGATCACATCTTCCCAATGGAGCTTTCAAAGAAAACCTCTCCCCTTTGTCTTTCACCCTTAAAAACCATTTATATCACTTCATGTCTGCTTACAAATTCACATGTATCCTTGTTATTCTTATTCAATTATTGGGGGGGAGGATTTTTTTTTCTCATGATGGCTTGCCAATTTTAACAAAGTTTTGATGGAAGAGTAATCTTTCTATTAAATAAATAAATATGTTTTTAGGCAAAACAACCATGAGGGGAAAGTCGTAAGGGCCTTTAAAAATGTATCTATAGGTCATCCTTGGAATATTAATTACAACTTTCAAGATCTGCTCACATATTCTTGGATAGACTTAAGACCCTGATATGTCCATTTCCCTGAAAAGTAAGGTTGAAGCAGGTGAGAAACATGTCCTGGTGGCTGAAAAGGGGTGGTGCCTCTTCTGGCATCCTACCATTTTCTCAAGTGTCGGCAGTGTTGGGCTGGGATGTAGCCACCTCATATTTTCTGGTTCCTTCCAATTCTATGGGAGATTACAGATTATTTCCTAGTATGACAAAAGTATAACGTGTAGAACTGAGTTTCAGATTGGAAAAATGAAAAGGAAAAAAAAAAACCTGGGAGAACCGAAACTGACGCATTCTTCCATCCCTGCTGTCAGCCTAACCTACCTCACAGAGTTGTGAGGATAAAAGGTGGGAGGTAGGAAGCCATGTACACTATCCTGGGCTTCTTGGAGGAAGAATCATAGAATTGTAGTGTTGAATGGGACCCCAGGGATCATCTAGTCCATCCCCTGCAATGCACGAATCTCAACACAGAGTGGGCAATAATAATAATAATAATAATAATAATTTTTATTTATATCCCGCCCTCCCCAGCCAAGGCCGGGATCAGAGCGGCTTACAAGGAATAATAAAAATAAGTTGAATGATTACAACTTAAAAGCAACATTAAAATATTGAAACATTAAAATATTAAAATGTAGCCTCCTCGCAGGAGGAGAAGGAAAAGAAAAAAGAAAGAGAGGGAGGGAATCAAATTGGCTCCAAGCCAAAGGCCAGGCGGAACAACTCTGTCTTACAGGCCCTGCGGAAAGAAATCAGATCCTTCAGGGCCCTGGTCTCATGAGACAGAGCGTTCCACCAGACCGGAGCCAGTGCTGAAAAGGCCCTGGCTCTGGTTGAGGCTAATCTAACTTCCTTAGGGCCTGGGACCACTAGGGTGTTGTTATTTATGGACCTTGAGGCTCTCCGTGGGGCAT